AAGAAAAAATAAGAATGGGCCAGGCACAGTGGCTCACACCTGTCACCCCAGCACTCAGGGAGGCAGAGGGAAACAGATCTCTGTGAGGTCGAGGCTAGCCTGGTTTATAAAGTGAGTTCAGGACAACCGAGGCTACAGAGAGAAACCCTGTCTGGAAAAAAGAAAGAGAGAGAGACAGAGAGAGAGAAAGGAAAAAAAGAAAGGAAAGAGAGAGAGAAAGAAAGGAAGAAAAGAAAGAAGGAAAGAAGGAAGGATAATGGATGCTGGCGAGGTGGCTCAGCGGTTGAGAGCACTTGTTCTTGAAGAGGGCCTGGATTCACTCCTAGCACCACACAGCAGGTCACAGGCTGAACACTCTTTTCTGATGTCTACGGACACCAGCACACACATGGCGCACATGCATACATACAGGCAAAACATGCACATACAAAGTTTTAAAAAATTGAACCAGTAAGTTTAAAGGGTGTCAAATCTCTGCTCATCAGAGAAACAGGCCAGGAGGTGGGTGGGTGAGAGTTCTGCACCCAAGAGGGGAAGGTGGGAAGATCACACCAACTCAAGCTCATACAGAGGTGGTGCCAAGTGGTGGAGGACAGGAAGTCCAGGTCATCAGAGAGAGGAGTCAGGCTGAGGTGGGCAGGAAGACACTGGCCCACTAGTGACTGTGAGTGAGACTGAGAAGGACATGAGGTCAGTAAAGAGTGACCAGCAGCCCACTTCTGGACACTGTCCGGAGAATGTGGCTACTGGCAACCACACTATCCATGTGAGACAAGATGCAGGTGAGATCAGAGAGCTGGGATTGCATATCAATCCCAATCAATGGCTTGGATTGCATATCACTCAAGCATAATGGAGGAGCAGCAACAGCAAAGTGTGAGGTGGGCTGGAATTTCTGGGTGAGAGGCCAATGACCAGATGTGTCCAGAGGTGGTCACAATGTGGAGAGAAGGCTCACATCCATTGATATGTGCCTAACGGAGGCAGGGGCTCAACAGAGGTGGGAAGGGCCTAGGGCAGCAATGGCTGTAGGGAAAGCCCCTATTCACCACCCCTTCCGGCTTAGGTATCTTTCTTGCATTTGGGGCTTCTCTGCCTGTAGGCGCCACCTGTGCTGTTGTTAGGAGGAAACTGGGCTCAGAAAAGTGTCCTTTCCTAACTTAGGACTCAGAAAGGCAGGTGGGCCGTTCTTCTGGTGCTGCATGACAGAAGTTTCATCTGGGAAGAATACGGACATTATCATTTTAAGGTGATAATTATTCTTCCCATCTCTGAAGCAAGCCCTCTGGTGAATCAGCTGTTTTGTGGGGAGGGAAGGTTAGACTCCTGGCCTGAAGATGTTCAGGCCCTGCTGAATTAATGCTTAAGGGAAGAAACAATAGAGCCTAATGTTTTGAGTAGCTTATAATGTCAATTTTCCACCCAAAGCCAGACCCTAAAATCACTTAGGGGATGGCTGAAATTGGGGACTAGATAAAGCACATTCCCACCATGAAAAGCCAGAGATCTAGTTCCAATAATGTTCAATAAGGGGATCGGGTGTGGACTAGAGCCAGCCACATCCTCAATTCGTAGCTTGGAGAAAGAAAAAAAAAAAAAAGACTGGTCTCTGGCCAGGAGAAAACTGAAGAAATTTCCATCTTCTGGCCAAGGACTAGAATGGGACTGTTTGCTTTCAGGATTCCTTCCGCTAAAATCTGCCTGACCAGTTACTATTTCATGTTTTCATCACTACAGTCTGGGGCTCCACACTTCAAAAGTCATTCTTAATGCAGATTCTTACTCAAATGTATATGTTTGGTGCCCAGTGGAGCAAATTACATCAGTAGAGATGTAATTTGGAGGAAATTGAAAAATATGGAGGAGCAGAAACCCACAAAGAAGGAAGTTTTCAGGAAGGAGTGGAAAGCGTGTTGCAATGGGAAGAGCCTGGACACTAACTTAGGTTAGGGTCTGTTATCTAGAGAAGGGCAGGTTTAACAATCAGCAGCAGAGGTCTAAGACCAAGACCAGGCTGATGAAGGTCAAGGAGACAACCTAATCCAAAGACAGCAAGGAAGATGGCCAGGGCATGGGAAAGGAAGAACAGTGGGCAGTCACGTTCCTAGAGAGAACTGGAGGGAAAGAATGCTCAGCTGTGATGCACATACGGTATGCAGCTGGAAGCGAAGTGTGCCTCTGGTGCAGCTCAGCTCAGCAAAGTGGGACACGGGGAGGAGAACTGAGCAGACCGTCAGTCGTCACAGCAGTGAAGGCTAAGTGCAAAGTATCAGGACAACACTGGGCTGGGGAGACCTGCTCAGGAGTCAGGAAAGACAAGTGTCTATGAGAGCGAACCACTTGGATTTGGAAGTCAAAAGACACGGGCAAGTTGTGGCTTAGATAGGCTGGTGTCCCTGAGCAAAGCATTTAAGTTCTTAGGGCTTTAGTTTTCTTATTTTCCAGATAAGAAAATATAAGGAGATAATAATCTTGAGATCTGCTTCCATCACATACCACATTCCAATGGAGGAAGTTGCCACAGAAATCTGAATCCTTCACTTAAAAACACTAATGAAACAAATTATCAACCTAGAACTCTCTCCAGTGAAAATTCATTCCTAAACAAAGTCAAACTGGAATGGGCTCTGCAAGGATCAGAGGGCTGGAAACCAGGATGGCAAATGCTGGCTCACAGAAAGTTAACACAAATTGCTGGGGGCTGGGGAGATGACTCAGTCTGTAAGGTGCGCCTGTGTGAAAGCATGAGGACTGGAGGTTGGATTCTAACACTCACATAAAAACTGGACATGCCATGATAAAACCTGTAATTCCAGAGCCAAAGATGCCAGAGGCAGACAAACCCCTGGACTCTGGCATAGCTGAAAGAGGTGAGCTCCAAAATCAGCAAGAGACCTTGTCTCCAAAACTAAGACACAGACATCATTCTCTTATACACACAAGCAAGCACATTTGCAACATGCGTGCATGTAGGCACTCACTCCTTCTCATCCACAATAGGCACAAAACAGAGCAAGGAAGAATCCCTATGAACTTCATTGTCTCGAGTGCCCTGTGTACAAAACATTTTGTCACTCTACAACATCTGAACTTACTAATTTAGTCAAAGCCAGTTGCAAGGAAGATGAAGCAGCAGCAATGGCTCCAAGCTTCACAGGTTAAGGGTGGAACTGCAGAGTTGAATCTAGCAGTAGAGAAGGCAGGGCAAGGCCCAGACAGAGGAACAGGCAGGTGATGGGCAGCAGACCAGACAGGAAAATGGGAGGATGCATAGATAGGAGCTGAATAGGCCTAACATACATCGTGGAGGTAGCCCAGCTAAGCTCCAGGGACTGGGGAGTTTTCTCTCAGCTTTGGATGCACACACCGGGTGGTCAGAGCACACACTGGTGGGAGCTGCAGCCTGCATATAGACATCCAACTTTATGGGGTCTTGGAAGGAAGTTGTTACACCCTTTCCTCAGTCTGTGTCTGGTAAGTGTAAGTCTTGGGTCTAGTTTCCCTGGTAAGATTTTATTGTAAGGACATGTAATTCATGTCCATAAATTTATAGGGTGGGACCCTTTCTATCCAGGAATAAGGCCAGAAGAGGACATCAGCTGTCCTGGTCCATTGCTCTGTACCTTAATTCCTCAAGATAGGATCTCTCAATGAACTTAGACCAAGGCTGGTCACTAGCAAGTTCCAAGAATCCTCCTAGCTCTGTCCCCTTGGGTTACTGCTTTGTGCTAGGGGTTTGAATTTGGTCTTCACGCTTGCACAAGCACTCTTACCCTCTGAACCCTCCTCCCAGCCCGGTTTTGTTTGTTGTATCCTGAGGTTTAAGGAACCCAGAGTCTTATGCACTCCAGGCAAGTGTCCTACCGCTGAGCCACCTCTCTGTCCCCTATTCAGTGGATTTATAAAGTTAAAAGAAAAATTAAAGAGGCATTTTCCCCACTCTACCCCAATTGCCTGAGTCAGGAAGACCCTGTTCTTTAAAGAGTCACAGGTCTCCAGGTTCTTTTTAAATTTTTATTTTGTGGATGAGAGTTTTACTTGAATGTATGCCTGTGTATCATGGGCCTGTATGGGACATTCAGAAATCAGATGAGGGCATCAGATTCCCTGGACCTGAAGTTATGGATAGTTGTGAACCATGTGAGTGGTGGGAATGGAACCAAGGTCCTACACAAGAGCAAGTGCCCTCAACCACTGAGCCATCTCTCCAGCCCCTCTGCCAGTTTCTTGTTCTCTGATCAAAGAATAAACTCCAGTTATTGGGTCCACAATTCTGAGAATGAGGAAAAAATCAGCTTGAATGAAAAATCTGAAACAGGAGGCATCCTCAAGCTAAAACTCAGGGATTTCTAGCTGGACATGGTGATGCACACCTTTAGTCTGAAGGCACTCTGAAGGCAGAGAGGCCGGCTCATCTCAGAGTTTGAGGCCAGCTAGGAATATACAGCGAAATCTGTGCTTCCCACACTCTCAACACTTGCCACCACCTACATGTCCTTAAGGAGTGTCCTGTTCATGGACACAGTTGGGGCTGACCCTAGACACTGGTCTGGGCCTACAGGTAGCCCGTGAGCCTGAAATTGAGACCAGCCTGTGATTAGCCCACGGGTCTAGCTGTCCTTATCCACCTGGAATGGATATGCATGCTGTCCTTAGATGTAAACACTGGTATTGACCTAAACATGGATGTCAACCTAAGACTGGGCTGCAGGCCTTAGGCTGGCTTGGACCTGAACGACGCATGCAGCTGGCCTAAGGAGCTCGGCCCAGCCTTCACGGCTTCCCGTTTCCACCCTCACTTTCTCAGGCAACGTTTCTTCTTTCCTTTCTCAAAGCCACAACCTACTTTCCATTTCAGGATACAGGGGAAAAGACCCGAGGGAAGGCATCACGTGGCCCGGGGATCACGTGATCGCGACCGTCACGTGCCGGCATCACGTGCCGAGTGGAGCGTCCAGAAGTGAGAAGGCCGGGGCCAGGCAGGCTCTCGCGAGACCCCCTCGGCTCACGTGACCGGCGGGCGCGGCGCTGCTCACGTGACAGGCGCTGCCGGCCTCAGGGTCTCTTCGGTGCCGGCGCCGCAGCTGCCGGTCCTCTCGAGTCGGTGGACGCGCCTTCCCGCCGGCCCCGCCGCCCGCGCAACCGCCGCACCCCGGCCTCGGCTGCGTCGTGCCATGGCGGCCCCTGGCGCCCGGCGGCCGCTGCTCCTGTTGGTGCTGGGTAAGCCTGGGAGGGCCGGGCGGGGTCGGCGTCTCGGGACGGCCGGGAACGGGGCGCCAGGCCGGGCGGGAAGGGAAGGGGCCGCCCGGGCCGCGGTCGTCGAATAGGCCTCGAGCCGGCCGGCTCCGCAGTAGCGCTTGCCGCCTCGGAGCCCGCGCGGGCCTGAGGGCGCGGGTGCGGGCGGGGAGCCCAGCCTGAGGCGCTCGGAAAGGAGCTGGGCTGGAGTTCCTGGCAGGCGGTGCTGCCTGCACCTGAGCTGCGTTGTGAGAGGAACGGGGCTGCCCCTGCCCCTGCCTGAGGTGCCCTTTCTCACCTCCGCTGTTTCCCGGGAACGCGGAGGGGTTGGCTGCGGTGCCAGCGTCTGCGGGCCCCGAGCTGGCGAGAGTTCACCTGGGCCGTACACATGCTCACGAATTCCCGAGCACCTCTCAAGACCCATCCGACACCACGACTCTGTAACTGTGACGTTATGGAATTTATTTTCCTTTTTTTTTTTTTTTTTTTTTTTCCTGCTTGTGTGAAGTGAACTCTCATCTATGAGAGAAGAGAGGTGCGCTTACTCGGCGGTCTCTAATCGGAAGCCTTTTGTTAAGGGACCTGTGCCCCTTAATGGCTCAGTAGTTGTAACTAGAATAGGAATTGCTGAAACAAGTTCTGTCCTGTCAGAATGGCTTTATTAGAAGAGCTCACAGGGCTCGGGGATGTAACTCAGCATTACAGTAATTAGTATTACTTATGGGCCCGGAGTTAAATCTCCAGCACAGCCAAATATACTTAAAACCCTTAGAATGTTTATACTATAAAAAAGGAAGGGGGCTTCAACTATGTAGAACATACTGTCCTGAAACGCATAGGTATTCGCCTGACTCTGCTTCCCAAATCTTGGTTGGTACTAAATCGCTGGGACATCATGCCAGGCCTCATTTCATGTTTTTAAAACTAAGCTCTGGCTGGCAAGGTGGTTTACACCTTTAATTCACGCTAGGAAGGCAAGAGGATCTCTTTAACAGGCCGTTGTGGTCTATGTAATGAGCTATAGGATAGGCGGGACTAGAGACACTGCTGCAGACATAAAATAATTAAGAAATAAATAAATGAAACTAACCTGTGGTGCCTCACACTTGTTAGACTTGGGGGCAGGGGAATTTAGAATTGGAGGTCAGCCTGGTAACGGTAGTGAAAGCCCCTCCACTTTTTTTTTTTTTTTTTTTAACTGGATGTGTCGGCTTGTGCCTGTAATCCTAGCGCTTAGCAGTCTGATGTGGGAGAATTTCTGTGACTTGGAGGCCAACCTAGGCTACAGAGTAAGACACTGTCTCAAAACAGAATTAAAGTGGGTAGGGGAAAATCTGTGACACCGTATACTTACGCCATGTTATGTTCCAACTTTCATAAAAGAACTTGAGCAACTTCGATTTAGAGCTTCCTTAAATATTTGTTTTAATTGTGTGGCTTCAAAAATAATTTTATCTTTAAAAAAGTTCTATAACTTCGGAATTGTTAATTGTTCCTATATTAATTGCCAGCTCTTCCAAATTTCCGGTGTGTTGAGTTGCTTAATAGAAAGCAGAGTGTGAACTGAAACTAGTATGTATGGTTGCTTAATAGGACTGTTGAGTTGTTGGGCTAACCCCATGACCTTCCCCTTTCTGGATGAGCCCTGTTAGTCCAGAAGTATGAGAAGTCCTTGCTAATTAATGTCAGTCTGGATTGTGGGATCTTGAATTCTTCACTAGATTGCTGGTCTGTGGTCTTGTAATTTGGGATTTATATTCTGTTAGAACCAATTCAGACATTGTTATCTTGACCTGGCCTTTGCTGTGCGTATGCAGATTGTAGCAGACTGACACCTGTACTGGGAATGAATGGCCTGTCTCCTTTGCTCGATTAATAAGAGCCCCAGCCTTTTGTCCAGACACATGTGAGTGCACGGAACTAGCTTTAAAGCAGTAGTCCTGAACTGAATTAAGCAAAAGGAGCTTTCTAGATGTACAAACACTTGTCACTTTTCTCCCACAGCAGTTTGCATAGCATGTACCGGCCTTATGGATGCTAGCCAGCAGGGAGGAAGCTAGCCATCATCCCTCTAGAGGTGGCAGTTGGAACTTTGGCCCTTTAGTTAAGTGTTCAAAGGTGATTGTGCTTCACTAGATAAGAAATTGGATTTGAAGGAAAGAAGCCAAGATAATTTAGGGTGTAGTTGGTTGGCGACAGGGTCTCACTATGTAAGTAATCCAAGCTGGTTTCAAAAATACTTATTTACCAAGTGCCGAAGATGCAGCGTGGTCGTTAGGCCATACACCAAAGCAAACAAAAACTGGGCTACTCACTTGCCTTGCCCTTGAAGCAAGTTAGTATCTCTGGGCCTCTCCACCTCAATAGGAGGGAATCACAGTGACAACAAACTTTTAGGGTTGTCATAGTAATTTAATTGAAAAGTGCTTTGAGAAATGTTTGTCACAAAGTAAATGTGTCACAAGTACTTGTTAAGTAGGTCTTCCTGGTGGCAACACACTTGAGTCCAAGAGTCCTAGTAAATCCTGTGCAAAGAAACAAGAGAGCCCCCAAAACAAAAGGGATTGAGAAGCAAGGCTTTTTGATTAAGTGGTGAACTGCTGAGACACTCTGACAGCCAGCCTTGAGGTTCTGTGCTCTTCCTGTTCTCTGTTGTGTAACCTCAAGGTGGTTAGGTGGTTGCTACTGGCTCCAAGGTCACGTAGCTAGTAACTGGTGAAGAGCTTCTGACTTAAGCTTGTGTGCTTCCCTCTGCTTACTAGTTGCAGGGAAGGGAGTTTCCACAAGTGTGTTTTAAAAGAACTAGCCATCATTGCTCTTTGACCCCTGGAGAAAGGAGCAGGTCCTTAGCAGGCAGGTGGGGACTCCTGGCAGCTGCCCCTGTTCCAGTCCCAGGATTGTTGTAGGCATCTTAACAAATTAGAAAATTGTTCTTTTTGTTTGAAGATTTAAAACTTGCATGCCTTTTAGACAATTTTTAAAAGATATGTTTTATGTGCATGAGTGTTTTGCCTGCATGTATATGCCTAGTGCTTGCCGAGGTCAGAAGGGGACATTGGATCCCCTACAACTGGAATTATAAATTCACTGTGTGAATGCTGAGAATCACCCAGGTCTTCTGCGATAACAAGTGCTCTGAATCCCTAAGCCATCTCTCTAGCCCCTTTTTTATTTTAAATATTTTAGTTTTGTCTATTTTATGCATGAGTGTTTTTTTTTTTAATAATTTTTATTTTATGTCATTAGTGTAAAGGTGTCAGACCCCTTGGATCTGGGGTACAGACAGTTGTGAGCTGTTATGTGGGTGCTGGGAATTGAACCCGGGTTCTTTGGAAGAGCAGACAGAGCTCTTAACTACTGAGCCATCTCTCCAGCCCCATGCATGAGTGTTTTGCCTGCTTATATGTCTGCACTGTGTGCATGCAGCGCCCACAGAGGCCAGAAGAGGACTTCAGATCTTGCAGAACTAGATTATAGATTTTTATGAGCTGCCATGTTGTTGCTGGAAACTGAACCTGGGTCCTCTGAAAGAGCAACCAGTGCTCTTCTCCTCTGAGCTGTCTCTCTAGTCCCTATCTACCCCCATTTTATTTTTTTAAGGTGGGAGTAGTAATGTTAAAGATGGCTTAATGTTAAAGATCCCAGAGAATGGGAGCAGTTAGCTGGGAAAGGGTGTGTTCTCAAAAGCCATAAAATTTATTTTAAATTTTAGTAATACTTGTTTTCCTCTGAATATACATGTTTACTAGATTAGGGGAGGGGATGATTAACCAATTACAAGAAAACTCATGAAAAGACAGATTAGGCAGAGCTGGACTGTGTACTCCCATGGGGGTATCTGCCGTGTTGAGTGTGACCTCAGATCCTTCTAAGGGCATCCAAGCCAAGAAAGTCTTAGGCCTGCAGTAGTGACATTTCCTGCCCTCAGTCAGGCTGCAAGTCTTTCTAGTTTATTTTGCGTATGTGTGAGGGGTGCTCACAGAGGCAGAAGATGTTGGACCCCCTAGAACTGGAGTTACAAGAGGGTGTGAGCTACCTGATGTAGGTGCTGGAGCTCAAACTTGGGTCTTGTGGAAGAGCAGTAAGTACTCTTGACCACTGAGCTGTCTCTCCGACCCCTATTTTCAGTTGTTTGTCTGAAACGGGGACTTGGTATGTAGCTATGGGCTGGCCTAGATAAACTGGGTTGGCCAAATACTTGTGTGATCCTTCTGCCTTTGCCTGTCTTGTTCTGGGGTTACATGTATATGCCACTACAATTTAGCTATTATGCTGGTGAGTTTTGTGTAAGCTTGACACAAGCAAGAGCTCTCTTGAGACAAGAGAGCCTCTACTGAGAAAATCTTCCCTCTAAGATGGGCTGTAGGCAAGCCTGCAGGGCATTTTCTTTATTAGTGACTGATGGGGGAGGGTCCAGCCCATTGTGGGTGGTGCCATGCCTGGGCTGGTGGTCCTTTGTTCTATAATATAAAAGTGGGGAGCAAGCCAGTAAGCAGCACCCCTCCATGGCCTCTGCATCAGCTCCTGCCTCCAGGTTCAGGTCCTGTTTGAGTTCCTGTCCCGACTCCCTTCAGTAATGAACAGTGATATAGAAGTGAAAGCCAAATAAACCCTTCTGCAAGCTGCTTTTGGTCATAGCAATAGTAACTCTTACTAGGCTAGCCATGTTGTGTTTTCAAAATTTTATTTTTATGTGCATGTGTTTGGGAGGGTTTGTGTGTATTATTTACCCTTGGAGATGAGAAGAGAGCACTGGATCCCGAGGAAGTGGAATTACAGAAGGTTGTGGGCTGCAGTGTCGGTGCTGGGGACCGAGCCTTAAAAAGATAGTTTTCTATGGAGTCCAGGGTCGGAACACCTTCAGTATTAGGACAACAGCCTGTGACTCACTTGTCTAGTTCAGTGTTTACCGAACGTGGTGAATCTTAATAAAAGGTGCAGAAAACAAGAAATACCAGTTGTGCTTTGAAGTCAATGTCTGATTGTTTCTTCTTTACTGGAAGCAGCAGGCCTTGCACATGGTGCCTCGGCATTTGTGGTGGAAGATGACAATGGCACGGCTTGTATAATGGCCAACTTCTCTGCCTCCTTTCTCATCACCTATGAGACTGAACATGGTTCTCAGGTAGGAGAAAACAACATTTGTGAGACTGAAAAATTACCCTACTTGAGTCTAGCCTTCTCACTTGTGCATATAGCATCTAGGCCAGTCGGTAATTTCTGCACAACAAACTACTGTGGAATGATAACATTTTCTGAATTTCTTCCTGGTTATTTTACAGTCACCTTGCACTACCGCAATGGTAAACGGCGAGTTTGCTAAACTTCCCTGGTGCTCCTTGGTTAGCTTTCTTATATTTTTCATGTTCAATAAAAAGCTCTAGATTTATTTGATCTGCTTCATTTGCTTCAGAATATCACTGTATCCCAAGAGATGTATTCTAAGTGGTGGCTTGGTGAGCAGTTCTGCCGACTGTATTCCTTTAAGAAAGATGCTCTAAGTGGGCTGAAATAGTGACACACACCTTTAGTACCAGCACCCAGAAGGAGGCAGAGGCAGGCCAGCCTACAAGGCTGAGAGTTCTGAGTCAGTCAGGACCACACATTGAGACCCTATCTCAACAAATTAGCAAACAAACAAAAATACATTCTTAGTGATTACATTAAAGCAAGTTTGTGTTTCTACAGTTCTTAGATGGCTAGCAGATGAGTTGCCTACTATATTTTCTTTTCTTTCAGTTACCTGTCAGTAGACATTTCACACATTCATTATGTGTAATTACCCGTTTAAGTACATCCCTGACTCATGACATACACCACACATGTAATCTTACAACTTAACAAGGACCAGGAGTTCAGGCCTAGCCTGGGCTATGCAAAGTCTTGTCTTAGTAATTCAGCCCTGAGTTACATTTGTTTTCAGTTCTTGATTGGAACTGTCTCGTCCATTTCACAACCCATATAGCAGCACTCAGTTCTGTGCTGGAGAGCAGTGGATACTCATTTGTATTCGTTAACATGTTAATGTGGAAAGACCTGCTTTTAGAGAAATGCCTTGTAATAGTAAATATTGCTCCAAGACTTTATAAGCTTCTAATTTATGTTTTTAAAAATTATTTATTTTTGTAAATTAGTGTTTGCATGTATGTCTGTGCAGTGCCTATAAAGGCCAGAAGAGGAATCAGATCTCCTGGAACTGGAGTTCAAGTTAGTTGTGAGCCACCGTGTGAATGCTGAGAATTTAATCTAGGTCCTCTTGAAGAGCAGCCAGTAACCACTGATAGTCCCTCCAGCCTCTCTAGTTTACTTTTAAAAGGAGAGAGAAAGAGAGAGAATATGGATAGAAGCCAGAGGACAACTTGGGAGAATTAGTCTTTCTAACATGTGGGTCCTGGGATTTGAACTCATGTTGTTGGGTCTGATGGCAGGTGCATTTACCCGCTGAGCCATATTGCCTGCCTCTGCTTTTTATTTGTCTTATGTGAGATATTTTTTGTTCCAAAAATAGTGGTATTATCAAGTTAGATTCTTTACTTTCAAGGTAATTTTAGCTTTGATTCTGTTACAAGTTGAAATTAGTTTAATAGTAGAGTTTAAAATTTTTTATATTTATGTTATGTTTTATTACAAAGCATTGGCTGGCCTCAGTCTTGTAATCTTCCTGCCTCCCCCTGAGTACTAGAATTAAGGTGTGCACACAGTGAATGAGAAACAGATTTTAACTATGACTAAGTCAGTCCTCTCACACTTGATTCACTTGTCATCCTATTTCTGTTAGTGACACTGAAGTGAGCTTCTTATTGGTTACCTTACAACTTGAGAACTTGTAGAACACTTTGTACGTGCACCTGTCATAGCCAGTTAGTATTTCAGAATACTCAGAAGTTTGAAGGAGGTAGAAATGGTGGCCACCCTGGTTTAATCTGCACACATAGTTTGCATGTGTGGAGTAATGTGTACAAATACTACCCAAGTAGAGTATCTTTTGTGAGTGACTGCTTCAACATTGACTGAAGGTTCCGTGCATTTAGATATGTCTTTGGCAGTTGTCTCCTTAGCATACATTCTCATGGAGTATCAACGGAATTGTATTTGTTCTAGAATTCGACCATTTTCCTGCCGCCCTCTGCAGAAGTGCTGAAAAATAGCAGTTCTTGTGGTGGAAAAAATGCTTCTGAACCCAGACTCGCAATTGCTTTTGAAAGAGGATATTTACTGAAGCTCAACTTCACAAGAGATGCAACACGTTACAGTGTCCAGCACATGTATTTTACTTATAACTTGTCAGACACACAACATTTTTCCAATGCCAGCACCAAGGGTAAGACCTCTGTGATAAAATGCAAAACCAAAGGGAGGGGTAGAAAACTGGCCTTTCCACGTGCCATGAGGGTCTGTTACGTATGCCTGCCTTTCTGAATCATGACTTCCCTTTCCTGTCCTTTCTTTTAGATGCTTGCTAGAGCCTAAGTATGCTTTCTCTGGTACTTGAGGCTTTTTCACTAGCCACTGTGTGTCTGACTGCATGTTGGCTCAACAGTACATGGCATGGATTCCCTCTTCCTCTTCTCCACTTTCTTTCCTCAGTCTCTGAAATTTACAGTTTGCCTGCCCTGGCGTTTTTCTTTCAAAGGCCAACAAAACTGTTCTTGAGCTTCAAAAGAAAGAAAATAATACAAGATGGTAGTAATTAAGTCACTTTTAACTAAGTACTGCAAATAGTTAAAAATTGTGTTTTGTTTTGTTTGTTGATTGGGATGCAGGGATCTACACTGTGGACTCCGTAACTGACATCAAGGCAGACATCAATAAGACGTACCGATGTTTTAGTGCTATCCAGGTCTACATGGGCAACGTGACCATCACACTCCTTAATTCCACTATCCAGGCCTACCTGCCGAATGGCAACTTCAGCAAAGAAGGTAAGGTGCTGGGTGAGGTCCTACAGGTGACACACTCCCCAGTGGAGCGAGTCTGCACCTTGGTCTGGCAGCCTTTCTGCTTTTAAGAGATGGTGGCCTTTAAAGAAGGTGAGAGTGGGCAGATCCTCAAGAGGAGGATAGAAAGTTAGTTAACACAAGCTGTCCCAGTCATCTGTCCAGTATACAGGTGTGATCCTGTGGGTATTGAACAAAACACTCTACCCGCCAAACAGTTTGTTCAGACCAGACAATCTCAAGTTGACTTTACCTTTCTGAGGAGGTGTGATTCCTGGCCTTCATCTGTTAACCAGCCCGGGGCCCCTGATGCTTCTTTGCCCCAAATTATCCATTGAAAAGGTGAGGTCATGTGATTTGCTTAAGATTTACCTGACTGCTTGCCCTGACTTCCTTCTCAGGTCTCTTCAGTAATTTTGTTGTTGTTGTTGTTGTTTTGAGACAAGGTTTTTCTGTGTAGCCATAGCTGTCCTGGACAAACTTTGTAGACCAGGGTGGCCTTAAACTCACAGAGATCCATCTGCCTCTGCCTCCCGAGTGCTGGGATTACAGACATGTACCACCGCATCTGGCTATCTTCAATAATCTTAATGAATACTGTGATGTGACCGCTGGATAGAGCTAACTCAAGTGTTATCTCAGTGCTATGTCATTTGCAGGCAGCACGTATAAGGTGTATTTTCTCAGCAGATGACCCTATTCTGCCATCTAAAGTTAAAAAGAAAGTATTTTATTACATATGAAGCTAATTGTGAAGGATAGCATCTAGAAGCTTTGTTGTGACATGTCACCCCGTTTTGTTTTGTTAGCACAGGGTCTCTCTTTTATGTAGCTCTGACTATCTTGGAACTCACTTTGTAGATCAGGCTGGTCTCAAACTCACAGAGATCCACCTGCCTCTGCCTCCTAAGTGCTGGGACTAAAGACTTGCACCACTGCACCTGACAACATAACCACTTGCATTAGGTGCTCTTGCACTAACTTAAGCAAAGCCCAGTTGTTGCGATAGTCATGGTCTAAAATATGTTCTGATATATTGTTGTGACACAAATAGAGTTGGTCTTTTTGGTTGTATGAGGTTTTTGTGGGGGAAAGTTCCCTTTTTAAAAAATGGTTTTATTTTATGTGTATGTGTTTTGCCTGTATGTGTATTTGTGCACTGGGTTCATGCTTGGTGTCCAAGATAGCCAAAAAGAGGGCATTAGATCATCTGGACACTGGCATTAAAGACACTTGAGAGCCACCAAGTGGATGCTGGGGAAAACAAAACAAAACTGGTCTTCTGGAGGAGCAACAAGTTCTCTTAACCTATTGAACCATCTCTTCAGCCCATAGATGGGCTTTTCTGTTTGCCAATGCAATGACAAAGGTGTTATTGACAGAACAAAGGGTAAAATAACAACCCACACACATAATTAGGAGAATTGAGTGGTTCTGCAAGATGGTAACTTGGGTCAAGTCCTGCCAGCTTCACTGCTTCTACTCTTCCATACAGACTTTGCTTGTTACAGCAGTGGGCCTTTTCCGTAGGTGCATATGAGACTTCTTGTGGGGATGAATTAGGTAGACTGACAAAAGTTGGGAACAGCCAGTACCCGCAGTGCCAAAGCTTCAGGTTATCCAGGCCGGTTGTGTGTGGTACAAATGTGGGGTTAGTTTTTCTTTTTAAAAAAATAACTTTGTGTGTGTGTGTGCATGTGTGTGCATGCTTGTGCGTACGTGCAGTGCAGTGCATGCATGTAGGGGGGAGGTCAGAACTCAACCCTTGGGAGGCAGTCCTTTTACTACCTACAATGTTTGGTTTTTCCACAAGCAATTCTTGATGCTGAATCTGATTTTTACCTCTCCAAAATTTTATTTTCCTTCTACTCTTATTTGCTAAAGCTTTTAGTAATCTATTAGCAATCCTTGGATAGTTAATTGTACTATTCCAAGAATCATAGAGAAACAGCAAAAAAGCTCATCAATTTAATCCTGCAACCAAGTAAGCGTGGGACTTAGAATACGTCTTTTGGCTTAGATGGCCATGTTAGGGTTCTTGCTAGGGACTTCCAGGAAGCTGATTCCCGTAGGAAACGTATCTTCCGCCTGGCAACATAATTTTATGCTTACATAGCACATTTTTTATGTTTTCACAGACAATTCCTGGAGTTAGTGTAGCAATTGAGATAGGTTTTTTCTGTGTAGTCCTGACTGTCTTGGAACTCTGTGAACCACGCTGGCCTCAAACTCAGAGATCCACCTGCCTCTGCCTCCCAAGTGCTGTGATTAGTCATGTGCCACCACTGCCTAGCTGCAGGCAAAACACTTTAAACACATAAAATAAAAAATAAAATCTTTAAGGAGGAAGTAAAGCACAGGCCAGGATAGGTGAAGCTGGCCTTTTTTCTGGGGTTTGTTTTTTGTTTGTTTGTTTGTTTGTTTGTTTTTGCGCACATGTGTGTGTAGAAGCAGGTCTGGCAGATCGTACTCAACCTGAAATGGGCTGAAGATGGTGCTGCTACAGGCCCGAGGATAGACCAACCAAGGTCTTACCAGGTTCAGGGGCATCTGCCAGGCACCAGACTTTCCAGTTGACCAGTGGACTGATATTTGTTTGTTTGTTTGGCGAGGTGAGGGTTGACTGAGTTTGTGCACAAGTACAGGTGCCCTTAGAGGCTAGAGATGTAGTTACATGCAGTCGTGAGTTGCTTAACATGGCTACTGGAAACATAATGTGTGTTCTTAATCACTAAGCCATCTCTCTAGCCTTGTTTGTTCATGCCTCTTTGTCATCATTGTGGGGATTTTTTCTTTTTTAATGATGTGTGTGTCTTTGTGTGGGTATGTGCACTATCTGAGGAAACCAGAAGTACTGGATCTCCCTTGGATCGGTGGGAGATGGTGAGAACCATCAAGCCCATCTCTCTAGCCCAATTATTCATGGTTTAATCTTGAAGGTTTGTTATGTGTAAGTTAAACATAGGAGAGAATTCTTCCATGACTTTGAAAAGTTAGTAATAACAGCCTGTAATAGCAGACCCCCTCCTCTCTTCTCCCCTCCCCTTCCCTGCAGGCTTTTGCACATTCTTGCTGCTAGAACTAGGCTGTAGTTAGTTCATGTGTTCTTATAAATGGCAGGCCTGCCCAGGCCCTGACTGTCAAGAGCCCAAGTCTTGTTTCTAGCAGTGACAGCTCAGTAAATACTTGAATTCATGCATATGGTAGGACCTAGACATTGCTCCCTCACGGCAGGGTAAGGCTTTCTCTTTGCCTCATAATATAGGTTTTATATGTCTGCGTGCCCACCGAGAAGGAAGGCTAAGTGGAAAGAGTATGGGTTGGGGGCAACAAGCAGCTAGCGTGCTCTGGGGCCTCTTCCTGCTTCTTACGTGCTTAGCAGTCACTGGTTGGGGGAATGCCTTTCAGAGTTCAGAAGTGGGTTTTTCCAGTTCTGACATGTACTCCAGCATGTGGGGTAGTTGTGATAAGCAAGCTGGACTTTGAACTGTCCTTCCAACTGCCTTTATTGTCCCTGCAGAGACACGCTGCACACAGGACGGGCCTTCTCCAACCACTCTGCCACCCAGCCCCTCGCCACCACCTGTGCCCACAAACCCCAATGTGTCCAAGTACAATGTGACTGGTGACAACGGAACCTGCCTGCTGGCCTCTATGGCACTGCAGCTGAACATCACCTACTTGAAGAAGGACAACATGGTAGGGAGGAATGGGGGATTGCTTTTATCATTGCAGGTTGTTGCTTAGTATGCTATCTGTTGTGCAGACCAAGAGGTGCAGAGCTAGTATGTGCCCCACTTGCTCTCTGACCACTGTTCTGAGTCTTGGGGTACATTTGTCTGAATAGGTTATGTATTATCTGCCCATGAAAGCCCACGATGAAGTGCCTCTATCCTAGTTGGAGCATTATCTTTTCCTTCAGCTTTTATCACCCAAACTTTGTGTTATTTTTACACTTCTGAAGTTGTTTGTCCCTTATATCTGTGGGGATGGGAAAGAATTGTTTGAATTTTCAGTGTATGGTTGAGCTGGGCCAAGTTTGCATGCACCTGTAGTCTTAGCCATTCAGAAAGGATGCTTGAGGCAGAAGGACCAGTTGAGGCATTGAGGATGGAGAAAGCTAGGAAAAGCATCAGGGGCTGTGTTAGGGTTCTGTAGAGGAGAACTTTAGATAAATCTTTATCTGTATACCCTGGGCCTGGTGCCACACACCTGTAATTTGAGCACTCAGGGAAGCAGAGCCAGGCGGATTGCTGTGAGTTCAAGGCCAGCCTGGTGAGTCCAGGACAGCCAAAACTACACAGAGAAGCCCTGTCTCGAAAAACAAACAAACAAAACAACTCAAGCCTCTGTATATGTGTAATATATTTATAAACCATTTTAATAGATCCCCCCCCCCCCCACACACACATATCCTAGAGTTTCTATTGCTGAGACTCCATGACCACAGCAACTCAAAGGAAAACATTTAATTGGGGCTGGTTTACATTTCAGAGGTTTAGTCTATAATCAATGTGGTGGCAAGTATGGCATCATGTAGGCAGACATGGTGCTGGAGAGGTAGCTGAGAATTCTACATCTGGATCAGCACGCAGCAGGGAAAAACAGCCAGTAGGCCTGGCTTGAGCTTCTGAAAACTCAAAAGCACCCCAAGTCACACATTTCCTCCAACAATGCCACACATCCTAATAGTGTCACTCCCTGTGGGCCTGTGGGAGCCATGTTCATTTTAACCACCATCTATTTATATAGAATGAGTCATTAGAATGGCTTATAGGCTATGGTCCAGCTACTTGAAAAATGTCTACCAATAGAAGGATCAAGAATATAGTACCTGTTCAGTTCACAGGCTTGGATGTCTTATCTCATCTTCTGGATACACCAGAATTCCAAAGTAGGCTGTAATGCCAGCAAAGAAATGGTCTCTTTAACAAGAGCAGGCAGGCAAAGCACACTTTCTTCTTCCTCATCCTTTATATAGGTTGCCATGAGGTGTGGCTCAGGTTAAAAATGAACCTTCCCACCTTAAAGGATCCAGATTAAAAGTAGATTTTACCACTTCAAATGATTTAATTAAGAAAAAAATCCCTCACAAGTGTACCCAGTCATTAGGTTTTAGTTAATTCCAGATATTGACACCAAGAATAGCTATCATGCAGTCCAGTCCAAGTCATCCATGCAAGGCACAGCATTCTGAATAACAAGTACTATTTGGGAACCTAGAAACCTGCACGGGTGTGGTTAACCATTCCTCCTGACTTGTTAGAGTGTGTGTGTCTGCTCCGTCAGCTATTAGTGGTGTCATCTGTGTTTTGAGAGGGTCACCAGAGCCTGGAGTAATGTCTTGTTTTCTTGTCAGACTGTAACCAGAGCGTTCAATGTCAACCCAAGTGACACGTATAATGGGAGCTGCAGTGTTCAAATGGTGACCCTGAAAGTGGGGAACAAGAACAGTGTCCTGGAGTTGCAGTTTGGGATGGTAAGGTTCTGTTCTCTTTCATCAGTTGGGGTGTATTCAATAGGTTTCTGTTGTGCCACCTTTTTCACACCCTTGGTATGGTGGTAGTCAGGAATTCGGGCTATTTGGAGCTGGAGGGACTATGGAGAAGCATTCACTGCTTCCTCAGGAAGGAAGAGATGACTCATGCCACGTAAGAGATGCCCACCCCACATAAGAGGACTTCTAAGTCTTCTGCTTCTCACCAGCAAATACACACTACTTAGTTATTCTGCCCATATTTGAGAAGACCTATTGTGGCTAGGTATTTGTTGGTGGCTGCAGAAAGAAGAGTGAAGCCAGGGTGTGCCACCTGTTTCTCACTGCCATTCTGTCTACCACTTGTACCATCTCCTGGGAAAAGTCACATGTATAGTTAGCAAAGTAGAATCGTGTAAATGGCACTTGGAAGTATCCTTGTTTTTGTAGTGCTGGGTCATGTATGTGCCCAGGCCCTCCTACACCCCAACTATATCCCAGCCAGCATAAATATTGTAATAGTGTCATTCAAATGAGCTCATTAATAATAATTTCTTACACTAGATTTCAAACTTTCTGTACCATTCTAAAGATATATTTTTAATAGCATGGTTGTTGTTGTTGTCTCAATTGTAGTGGATAAACTGGTACCAACAGTCTCAGAAGTTGGACATATCAATGCTTGTTTTAGTCCAAGTACTGAGAGGAACATGAGTTTAAAGACCTCACTGGGCTGCATAGTAACAATTTGTATATATATAAAAAAAAAGTCTGGCTGGGTGCTGTACCATATACCTGTAATCCCAGCATTGGCAGAGGCAGGCAGATCAATCTTGAGTTTGAAGTCTACAGAGCCAGTCCAGGACAGCCACAACTACACAGAGAAACCCTGTCTCAAAAAAAAAAAAAAAAAAAAAAAGTCTGGTAGCTGGAGCCATGACTCAGCAATTGGGAACACTAGCTGTTTTTCCAGAGGACTCAGGTTCTAGTACGATTCCCAGCACTCACATGGCAGCTCATGACTTGTCTGTAGCTCCAATTCCAGGGAATCCAAGACTCTTACCCAGACATAACTGTGGGTAAGACACTGAAGCAATCAAATAAACCAACAAGTAAATAAATGGAGAGAAAACTTGAAGAACTGACCAAAGAGCAGAGGTTTGCTCTGTTTTTATTATGTAGATATCCTGTTGACCAGGTGACACCCACTATAGATGGTCTCCTGTGCCTGACAGCTGTCGTTTCTTTCAGAATGCCAGTTCCAGACTGTTTTTCCTGCAAGGAGTCCAGTTGACTATGACTCTTCCAGATGCCATAGGTGAGATGGGCTTTTTTCTGCCTTCCTTCAGTTCATGTGCTGCTCACCCACTGTAGCCTGTGGTTGAGCAGACTCTGTCGCATTGCAGAGCCCACATTCAGCGCCTCCAACCATTCACTGAGAGCTCTTCAGGCCACTGTTGGAAACTCCTACAAGTGCAACACTGAGGAGCACATTTATGTCACTGAGGTGTTTTCCCTTAACGTCTTCAGCATTCAGGTCCAGGCCTTCAAAGTTGAAAGTGACAGGTTTGGGTCTGGTAAGTAGCATCCATTGAACAGTAGCATCTTGGAGATTCTTGTGGGGCCAGGATGTTAGGGTAGGAAACACCCTTTTCCTCTGCAAAGACCTAATCCCAGTTTAAGATTTCCCTTTGTGAGGAAGGAACTGCAGGCATAGGTATGTGAGGCAAGGATGCCATGGCTAAGGAAAGAGATTGTAGAAAATGACAGTAGTGGCTGTTTCTGAAAGCTCTCTCCAAGGAGTTTCATGTCTTGAGGGACTTGTGCCCAAGTACAGCACAGCTGACTACTGGTCCAGAGTGGTCAGCATCATTCAATCCTGGGTAGAGCGAGCTTGTGATTACTCAACTGCAAAAAAACCCACTTGTGGTCTATAGACTTCCCAAAGGTGGTGACCTTGACATCCCTGCCCTGGCCTCATCCTTTCCCCTCATGCTGGGGTGGGAGCTGAGGGGAAGACATTGGGCTGTCTTTGTTGCAGTGGAAGAGTGTATGCAGGATGGTAACAACATGCTGATCCCCATTGCTGTGGGTGGTGCCCTGGCAGGGCTGGTCCTCATCGTCCTCATCGCCTACCTCATCGGCAGGAAGAGGAGTCACGCTGGCTATCAGACCATCTAGCCTGGTGGACAGGTGCACCACAGGCTCACAGGGGCCTATTCTCATGTCCCTGAGCTTAGATAGGTGTGGAAGGGAGGCACACTTTCTGGTAAACTGTTTTCAAATCTGCTTTATCAAATGTGAAGTTCATCTTGCAACATTTACTATGCACAAAGGAATAACTATTGAAATGACGGTGTTAATTTTGCTAACTGGGTTAAATATTTTGCTAACTGGTTAAATGTTAATGTTACCAAAGTAGAGCTCTAAGGAGGACAAGAAGGCTTTTCAGAATCGGCACGGGCTCCACTCATTTGACTTTTTAAGATTTGGTATTTGGTTTCTTCATTCTTTTACTCAGATTTAAGCCTTACAAAGGGAATCTCTTTGAGAAGGTCCAAACACTTGGGCCTGTTGAGGGTGGCTGATCGTTAGGTTGCACACTTCAGAAGCTAGAACTCGAAGCAGGGGAGTCCTGCTGCACAGGCACGCACAGCATCAACCTTTGGACACTTAGCTTGGGCTGCCTGGCCTAGGGGGCTGGAATGTGGCTGGGGCATAACCACCAGTGTTTCTGTGTTCTGCCACCAATGAGCTAGCACTTTTCTAAATAGAAAATGGCATTATTTTTATTTACTTTTTGTAAAGTGATTTCCAGTCTTCTGTTGGCATTCAGGGTGGCCCTATTTCTGCACTGTGTCCAATAGTAGATTCACACTGCTGACCTGTCCTGAGGCATAGGTGGGTTGCACACTGAGCATCAGCTCATGGAACGCATTGCCTGTAACGATGCTAATAAAAAGTCTCCTTCTTTGTCTGTCTGGACTTTGTGCTTCTGTGATCCACCAAGAGAGCACTGGAAGGGATGCTTAGGTTTGGGACAGTGTTAGGATAGCCATCCTCTTGGTCAGCCTATGAGAAAAGTAAATGGTGTTTTGGTTTTTGTTAAGGAAATGTACCTCTCTGTCACAAGCTGTTTGTAGCTCCCTGGGTGCAGGAGACAGGAGTCCTGCCTTAGAAGCATCATGTGCCTCTGACTTCTGAAACCAGAAGTATAGAGAATCCAGACTGGCAGGCAAGGCCAAGGTCTGCCTGGTGGCCCTAGAACTTAGCTGCCCTCTCCTGCCTTTGGGGAGAGGGAAGATGTACCTCCAGGCACATTCTGTTGGGGTTACTGGCAGGGTTGCAAGCTCTACCTTCCTAGTCTGCATAGACTGAGCTGAAAGGAACTCTGTTCTTAGGCAAAGCTTCTCTATGCCCTCAAACTGAGCACTGAGATCTCACCATGTGACTCCACCTGCTTCCCAGTTCCCAGCCACTCTCCTTGGACACCAGGAAGTGCTGAGGAAAGCCATCTCCAGCTGTACCTTAATGGTGCGAAATGCCTTGGGAAGCATCTGAACAGTAGTGTCAGGTGCAGCTCTGAGCCACCCACTCCTGGATAGGGTCAGTACATCATGCCACAGGATTTGGGGCCACCCAGGTATACAGCTTTGGTACCATGGCTGTCGTACCTGCTGCAAAATAAGGGGCTCAGTGCTTATTTACAACTCAAGTCAGCTACCATTGACCAAGCCCTAATGATCCAACTTCATGAACAACTTGTCCCCAAGGGATAGTTAGTGATGGCCTTTTAGGCAGTGCTGGTTGTATGGGACATTAGGGTGGCTGTTTTGGAAGGCCATTCCACTGAATTGTGAACAGCCGGAAGACATGGCCCTGACCAGCCTAGCATGTAAGTTCCATCTTGAGAAAGCAAAGGATCACTGGTAACTATGCTCAGCAAATGGGTTACTGTCACACTTTGTCCCCCTAGGGACCAGTCTGTGTAGGCACAGACCACATACTCTTAGCTAGGAAAGACTCCTGGGAGGGCAGGCCTTCCTTTCCAGACAAACCAACGTCACACATGCCAGTCACTATTAACCTTCAACACTAGAAAACTCAATGCTGACATAGTTTACTCAACAAAGTGCACACAGCTCTTACCAAATTCCTGATATCTCAGCTAAAAATTTTTTTTTTTTTTAATTTGTGTATGTGTTTCAAAATGACAATTTGAAGAGTCTGTTCTCTGCTTCCACATTTGAATCCCAGGACCAAATTAAGGACATCAGAATTGGTGGCAAATGCTGAGCCATCTCACTGGACCAGATAATTCAATTATGACTCTGAAGATGGACAAAAGTGTGGAGCACTATAATTTTAAGTTACTCTTTTAAAGTTCACATTGAAAGTGTCATGATTTCAAGTATTTACAACAGGAACGATGTGGTAGGAATTTGTGAAGTGTGCTGTGGAACAGTTGCAGCAGCAGTGGCAGAGGGTGCCACTACACTCAGCTCTGTGCCTGCAGTGCAGCTCTGCAACTCTCTCGGAGCCTGGTGATGGTCGTCATGGACAGGCTTCCTGGTTCTGAAAATATTTTCTGGAAGAGAAGCAAAATGTGTTTTTCCAAACAACCCCTCACAATACATTTTCACTTTAGTTCATAAAAGGCCCTGGGGCTGGGCATGGTCTTACAAGCCTTTAATCCCAGCACCTGGGAAGGCAGAGGTAGGTAGATCTACAGAATGAGTTCCAGGACAGCCAGGGCTACACAGAAAAGTCTCAAAAGCTGCCCCCCCCCCCCAAAGAAAAGAAAGTTGGCACCTGGCAGGCAAACCAACCTGCCAAAAGATACCAAGGCTTTGACAGGAATGTGGGCTTGGGATGAGGATGCAGTCTCCCAGAAGACATGGCAGTAGAGGGGCTTACCTCAAGACTGCCATGGGGCTGCATACACTTGATTTTTGGTTTCTACAAACTCCAAACAAGAACACTGGCCACCACAGTACTCTGGTTAAGTGGGTCTGGGCACTCTTGATACCACATGCTTGGGCCAAACTCAGCACTTAAAAGCATGTCTGGGTTCTGAGTTGGCATCCAAACTGAGGGTAATGGGCGGTGTATAGCACAAGTGACACTTAAGCTTCTACTCATGAATGTAGCCTGTGAGGGAAGACATGTATGCTCTTCTGAGTTTTAGAATACACAGCAAGGGAGGAGTCGTTTTAACTCCTGAGAAAACAATCTAATCACATTCTCCAAGAAGCACTGTGTAAATGGCTGTAGGAAGACAAAAGGAACCAAGTTCAGGGTAGGTAGTCAGGGACCTTTCTTCTGAGCCATGTCACCAGACCAAATCAATTTATGACTGCAAAGATGGTAAGATCTGTAGAACACCATGATTTTACATCACTGCACAGGGACTGAATTATGAACAGCCGGAAGGTCTGTTAAGTAGATGGTGTACAAAGTATTTGAAGGTCTACATATAGACCTGTCAGCAAGCCCCAGTTCCTCATGGAGCAGGAACTGGTGACAGTCCCTGCCCAGGCACAGTGACGGACCTGCCTGTACATTCAGAGGAAAGATCAGAGTTCATCAGGCAGCCTCAAGCTAATTCTTGGTTCACACTCAAACACTTAAGTCCCTCTGCAGCCTGTGAACTGCGGGTCTGGGGAAACCTGGGGTCCTTGTCTGCTGTTTTTAGTGTATGCTGCTGCTGTATAACTGGGGTGAAGCCCCAACTCCAAGAAGCTTACAGAAGAAGCTTGCTGGCTTGGCTTCAGTGATGCATTATGAAGAGTGGGAGACAGTTGTGAGGTCATTTCCCAGGGTCCCTACTGGGCTAGACCACAGGTTCCTGTCCCTATGCCCACTCGGGGAGCTGCCCATACTTCAGAATTCAGAACCTACCTGGGTGTGTGTAGGCACCACCTACTCTTAAGGTGTGTGCCCCAAAGACAGCTTTTGTTTTGTTTTTTTTTGACACAGGGTCTTTGGTCCTAGCTATCCTAAAGCTCAGTAAGTAGACCAGTCTGGCCTTTAACTTACAAAGATCCTCCTGAGTGGGTCGGATGGGTATGAGCCACCATGCCCACCCTCCAATGGTGCTTCTTGCCAGCAAGGGGCGTCTAGCCACAGTTTGTTGGAATAGAACATATCCTTTGACTTCATTATTTCAAAAATTTTTAAGTGCTGGGTGTGATAGTGCGTACATTTGATCCCAGGAGACAGAGGCAGCTTGAGGTCGAAGTTTGGGCCTGGTGTGGTCTACATAGGAAGATCCAGGCCAGCCAGGGCTCCATGGTTAAGATCTCTGGCTCAAAATACAGACTGTTGAGAGGAACCCTCAGATTCGACCCCACACCAGATCCTGCCAGTGTCACGCAGCCCTGGGCTTCGAGGGCCTCCCAGTCCTCCAAGCTCCGGCCAGTCTCATCCCCACCTCATGCTTACAAGTTTCTGCCTGCACCAGGTCACCCAGCAGCCATCCCTAGCCTCACTACTGACCCTCTCAGGTACCATGGATTACTATGTTGTAGCAGGACAGGAGGGAGTCCACGGCCTTCTGTGCTCAACAGCCTCTGACTAGGCTGTAAGCCAGCTGAGGACAAAGAGGCCTCACTGACATGTCTCCCCCTCTCCCAGACTTGAGGGAAATCAGAGTACTTCCAACCAATGTGAACCAGAACAGGCTTTCCAGGTGAGCAGCAGTGGCCTTGGACACAAGGTCAAGACGGACTGCAGCCACCTGGGTCAGCCAGCAGCTCCCAAGCTGCAGACAAACAAGAGGAAGGAAAGCAGAGGAGCAGCCACTGGGCTGCAGCTATAGCTCACAGGCGGAGGGGGGCGCTTGTGAGGAGAGAGACTCAACAGAGGCACCGGGACACTTGGCACAGTTGCTGGGTGGGACAGAGAACCACAGAGGCCCTGCCCAGGCCAAGCAACCAGAATTACCTGCATGAATGTGTGACACTCCGTCACAAAGTCCCCTTTCGTGATCTGCTTGAACTTATCACAGATGTCTGGAACACTGCTGGCTTCCAATATAAATTCCTGGTGTTGCTTAATTAAGGTCAGAGCAACCCGGAAGATGATTTTGGAGCCTTCATTGAACAAACAATCCCAGATTCGTAGCACAGTCTGTAGAGACACAGAAATGCCCCCATCACTCCACAGTGACCCACACAGCTCCTGGGGTTGGTCAAGGTGCTCACCTCCACAGGCAGGATGTCCACAAACAGGCAGATGAACCAGCGGGACACCAGCAGGGTCCACAACACACCATGGCCATCCATCAGGGCTGCCACCGCTGGTAGCTTCATCCTCACCAGCTCTGCCAGGACCTCCTGATCCGTCTTTAGCCCCAGCATTGCTGGGCTGTAGTAATCTGCCACACAGCGGGGAAAAGGGGAACTGAGCCTCAAATCAGCAGGGCCAGGGAGCAGAAGCCTATATCCCCAGCTACCTGGGAGGCTAAGGCAGAGTGATCTCAAGCTCAATGCCCACTTGACCTACAGAGTTCAAGATCAGCCCAGATAAGTTCACAAGCCCCTGTTTCAAAATGAAGGGGGTGGAGGTGTTGTGAATGTTTTGGTTTATGACATGTAAACATGTTTTTGTTAAAATTCCAAGTTGGGGATTTTAGTTTGTTCACACCTGTTAAGTGTCTCACGCAAGAGTTGAATTCTGAGGACCTTGAGGGGTATAAATATGACAGCCCAGAGGAAGCAGGCAAGGCTGCTCAAAAGAGGGCTGCCTACTGCTGGTTCGTCCTGCTGCTGCATTTGCTGTAAGCATTTGCTGGTTTCCTGGACTTCTGGATTTCTGGATGACTGATACTGGTATTGCCCCCAAAAGAATCCTACAACCCAACGGGAAGTAGCAGAGAGAACTCCGCACCCTGTCCCCACTAACCTTGCCTTCCTACCTGGTGTTGGGGGGTTAGAAGAACCATTTACTAACCCCAAATAAAGTAGGTTTGTTTAAAAAAAAATTATGGTCAACAGGGAGGCTAAGGGTGTAGCTCAGTGGTAGGGCATTTATATGGCAGGCACAAGGTCCCTAGGTTTCACCTGTGTACACGTACACACACACACACACACACACACACAGATTCAGCACCTGTGAAAGGAAATTTTGGCATAAACTCCTCCATGGAGGAGCCATGGGGATATCCAGTTTAGTGAGCTAAACCACCAGAAGAGACAGGCTCTATGTGATTATTCTACTTCCCTGACGTAAACCCTCAGGGCGCCGATTCCAGCCACCACCAGTTGGTGAGGAATGGGAGTCATGAGCTAATGGGTGCTGTTGGGCCTCAGGGCTGGGCTGTAGCTCAGCTGGACAGTGCTCGTCTTTCTAGCAGAGAAGGCGCCCTGGATTTGATGCAGTACTGCACAAAACTAGGGACATGGCACACGCCCGAAATCCCAACAGTTGGGAGACACAGGACTTGCCTACATACCGAGCTTGAGGTTAGCGTGGACTACACAGTGAGGTGAGGGAAGAGCAGAAGGAACGGAAAAGTGGTTGTGTGGTAAATTTGATCTTATAATAAAAATCACATTCACACCACCTGACAAGTGCTTCCAACAGTATTTCATGTGAAGACGTGTCTTGCCAAAATACTTGGAGTTTCCTAATCAGTTTTTTTTTTTTTTTTTTTTTTTTTTTTTAGTTCAATGGGCAGGGGGTACATGTGGGCCATGACAGCCATACGCGTGAGGAGCAGAGGATCACTTTATGGTCTTGGTTCTCTCCGTTCAAAAATGTGGGGCCTGGGGATCAAAGGGTGGTTAGCCTAGGAGAAAAGTGACTCTAACCACCTAGCCATCTCACTGGCTTTCCTACTTAATTTTTTTTTAACTTATTAGTGCAAGGTATTGTTATAAAGTTTAACACTTGCTTTACACTACAAAAGAAATAAAAAAAAATCTGTGATAAAAAACCAGAAAACCATGGCACACTAATTTGCATCCATAGTGTCTTGTCCATGCAGTGAATGCACAACAGAGTCACTGTGGAAGAGACAAAGAAAGAAGGAAGGAAAGAAAGAAAGGAAAAAAGGAAGAGACAGAGAAAATAACTGGCCTTTTACATACTTGCTTTGCATCTGCATCTTGGAGCCTTTCCACCATTTGCTCTCTCCCTTATTTTGTTGTTGGCTTAGTCCGGGTTTTTAAGTGGTGGCAGTTTTCTGAGACAGCTCTCACTCAGAATCCCAGGATGACCTACAAGTTGTGACTCTCTTGCCTTACCCTCCTCAATGCAGGGATTACGCTGTAGGATTACATGCCAGGCTCTTCCTAACTGCACATCCCATTTAGCTGGAGGAGGCGTGTGCAGACAGCCAGGGTGTCGCCCCAGTGTCGTCAGCTCAGCAGAGGGAAAGGAGCAGAGCAGAGATTTACAGAGGAGCATTTCGTGACCTTGGCCCTGCTTGGATGCTTAGTCCAGCTTCCAGAAATAGAAATGTTAAACTCATGCCCCGTGAACTCCAGGGCTCTGAGTCTCCAAGGGGAGGATTGCATTAACCCACTACACCTTGCCACTCTCCTTCCACGCTGCTGTGGAAGACAGACCAGTGCCATACCACCCTCTGGACATTAGGTACGGACAGTGTGCACAGTCTGTGTCAGAGCCATGCACTGCCCTAGCTCCAGGGAGTGCCTCTCCTATCCAAGGGATACACTTAACCCCACACCAAGGCTCAGCCACAGCACCAGCCTGAGACAAAGTAGATGCTTCCATGTTCTGATAGCAAATCCAGGGAGAACCCAAAGACAGTGGTGTGGTCTGCTGAGACTCCACCTCTTTGCTTCTGATTGCAGATAAAGGGCATGCCAAAAGCACTTATCGTTAATACCAGGTACAGGAAGCCCATATTTGCTGGCAAAGAGGCTCTGCTGGGAACACCATGGGGGCCAGCTTGGCCCACCCTGCAAGCAGCCTAAATGAAAAGAGCGAGCCAGGTGGTGGTGGTGGTGCATGCCATTAATCCCAGCGCGCAGAGGCAGGTGGATTTCTATGGTCCCTAAAAGTTTGAGGCCAGCCTAGTCTACAGAGTTAATTCCAGGACAGCCAAGCCTACATAGAGAAACCCTGTCTCAAAATAAATAAACAAAAAAATTTTTACAAGGGAGGAAGAAGAGGAGGAAGAGGATAGAGCATGGGGAAAGCTGTGTGTGGAGACATCAACTCCTGGGACAAGGCAGAATGCTGAGTCGTGGGCTCCAGAGCTATCACACCTAGATGCGCCTATGACACATAGTACCTTACCCTGCACACCCAGGCCTTCCATGCGGATGTCTACAGCTCTGTCCACCATCAGAGAGGACCCCAGAGCCAGAGGCCCCGCCCTAAAGACCAGTGCCTTTCCCTTGCTGTAACCTGGGGTTACCACTCTGTAACGCTGCCCAGACCACAGATCCTCATCCCTAGGACACAGTCACATCCCAAGTTCAAGAACATCCTGAGGGTTGCTCCCAGATCTGAGTGGAAGGGCAAAGACAAACCTACCTGCTTTGGGATAAAGGGTCTGGGTTCCTTCATTTTGTCCTAAACCCTCACCATAGCATAAGTGCCTGCACACAGGAAGGGAGGAGTGACGTCACCACAGAGTGCCACCTGTGTCTTCTAGTCCAAATCCTACCTGGGTTGTCACAGTGCCTCACTGGGCCTCCTTCATCCCAAGGGGGACTGAATTCTGGGGGAGGCTTTCTTCCCCTGCATGTCTCCTAGTACAGAGATGAAGCTTCTCTCCTACCAGTTATTCCTACCAGTGGCTAACACACACCACCACAGGCATGGGCACCCGGGAAAAACAGCACACCGAGGCTTGGTGTCCAGCCCATGGTCGTGGGGTGCTTCCTGAAGTCTGAGGCAGCACTGCTTTCTCTCCCATCCTCTCTCTCTTGGATTTTTTGAAATAGGAATTCCCTGTGTAGCTTAGGCTGTTCTTGAATTCGTGGCCTTCTTGCCTTAGTCTCCAAAGTGTTGGAAGTACAGGTGTGTGCCACCACACCTAGCATACACTGCCGTGAGTGTGTGTGTGTGTGTGTGTGTGTGTGTGTGTGTGTGTGTGTGTGTGTTTCAAGACAGGGTTTCTCTGTGTCTTAGAGCTATCTGCAGACCAGGTTGGCCTTGAACTCAAAGATACCTGTCTACCTCTGCCTCTGAAGTCTGGGGTCAAAGGTGTGCATCACCACTGGCTAGGCTTTACACTGCTCTTTTTAATGGCTGGAAAGAGCTTCTGTGGGCTTGAAGGTCTCTATCTTCCTATCATTCCCCAATGAGAGAACTTGGAAGAGTAAGTGGTGATCATGAGCAGTAAAAGTAAACAGACTTTAAAAGACTCGGACTTTATAAAGCTGGGGACAGTGTGCGTGCCTTCCCTGCACTGAGATGCAGGGGGAGTAAGGGAGTCCTCATGAGCCCAGGAGGTCCGGGTCTGTGGCATGAACAGAAGCAGCCTTGTCTCATAAGTAGGGTGCTGGGATGCGGCTAAGCTGATAAAGTGCTTACTTAGTAGTCCTAGTCTCAGCACCCCATACACTGAGTACAGTTATTCGTGACTATAATCTCAGCACTGAATGTGAAAGAAGGGTCAGGTGTTCAAGGTCATCTTCCAATACATAGCAAGTTCAAAGCCAGCCTGGGCTACTTGGCCAAGCTCAAAAAAATAAATAAGATGGGTGTGATGGTACATGTTCTTAAGCCTAGCACTTAGGAGGCAGAGGCAGGTGGATTTCTATGATCTCTGTGAGTCTGAGCCAGTCTGGTCTACATAGAGTGTCCCAGGTCAACCAAGGCTACATGATAAGTCCCTGTCTCAAAAATGTAAATAAAAGCTATTGAGATGGCTCTTAAGAGGACTGGCTCTCTTCCAGGGAACCTGGGCTCAATCCCCAGCACCCACTTGGTGGCTCATAACTATCTATAACTCCGTCTCCGGGGATTCCTCCGTCTCCTTTCTGGTCTCCGATGGCCCCAAGCTGCACTGATATGCATGCAGGCAAAACACCCATATGCATAAAATAAAAATTAATAACAAAGCCTTTTTATTTTCATATTCAAATACTTATATTTTCCTAATCCCTAAACCCATTAATTAATAATGAGATTTTTAAAGGCAAAATAAGTACTGGAAAATAAAAAAAAAAACATTTGATTTTCTGGTGGGGAAATCAAACCCCAAATGCTTCTTCCAGAATGAAGGTGCCCCAATATGTGGGCACAGCACAGTACTGGGATCCCCACTTCTTTCTGAGCTGCCATGGCTGGAAGAAAAAGATTGGGATAATGCTGCTCAGCTTATTTTTGCTGCCTGGCTTCTGAGGAAGACCCAGACTCAGAAGGTCTAATTCCCAAAGGACACTCCCGACCCCAGGATTGAACCTACATGGCACATGAACCAGCCCACAGCCAGGGCAGGCAGCCATCAGAAAGCCACCAGGAAGGTGCAGAGTCTGCTAAGGCCTCACTGAGGCAAGGGAGCTCCGCTCCACCCCTCCTGCACCAGGAGACAGACCTGTGGCCTTCAGAGACCTGGAGCCCTTAGCATTGGGGTGGTGTCTGGCTTAGGCAATGGTGTTTCTGTGACAGTTAGCAACCTCTTTCCCTGCATTTCAGCAGAAATCAGGTCCAACTGTTTTCCTGGACATGCAGGAATCCGTTCATTAAGGGATGGGAGGGCGCCACCGTGAAGAAGTCTGCAGCCGACGGTGGGTGCCCTCCAGGCAGACCCAGGCACGCTCCACCCCAGACAGGCCATCAGTCTGCTGTCATTCCTTCCACATGATGACATGAAACTTCCATCTCAGCATCCTTGGCTCAAATGGGAGCCTTGGCTGAGACTCAGCACCTGCAAGCCTACCATGAAGTAAGATTCCTACGTTCTGAGACTCTCGGGTGATAACAGTAAGGCAAAGTCCCCAAGTCTGAAGCCAGGCATGATGGTACACACCTGAGGTGCCTAGTCTGTATAGCAAGTTCCAGGACAGCCAGGGATACACAGTGAAACTGTCTCAAGACAAAAAGACCCCAGTCAACTTCTGCTCGGCTGGTGAACCACAGGTACAACCCCAGGGAGGCAGAGGAGGCAGGGGTGGGGCTAGACCCAGCTTCAGTCAGAGGTCTGGAGGTGGGGTCAGGGCAGCCCTGGGCTAGTCAGGTGCCAGTGAGTCACTCCATCTCTCACAACCCAGTTCCTCCTCGAGGAGACCTCGGCTTTTTCAGCAGACCATGACCACATACCCCATGGGGGCTGAAGAAACCTGACACCTCATGAATTTGTGAGCATGTCCTCCAGGCTCTACCCACTAAACTCACACCCTGAGGGCCTCTTTACACAATCCAGATCCTAATCCTGTCAGCCATGGACAACACACACTTTCTCTACACCAGGAGCTACCTCACTCAGGGCATCTTTAGCCAAAGCTGCTGGCATGGACTTTTCTGTCTTTGAGACAGGATCTCACTGTGTTGCCTTAAATGGGCTGAAACTTTCTATAAAGACCAGATTGGGCTCAAACTCAGAGAGTTTGCCACTTCCTCCTGAGTGATGGGGTTAAAAGGCGTGCTGTCTCCATGACGGGCTCCCACCAGCTTCCACAAGTCCAGCTGGGATCTGACCTCCTGTCTTAGTTAGGGTTTCTATTGCTGTGATAAAACTCCAAGACTAAAAGCGATGCGAGGAGGAAAGGGCTTATTTTGGGTTACAGTTCTACACACCCTCTCATGTTCTCAACACCCATCTGAGGGCCAGGCAGAAGGCGGGACAGGCAGGATATGCTCTATCCAAGTCAGTCATCCCCCTCAGGACAGCACTGCCTCTTCCTAGTGTCCCTTGTGGAAGCCCACGGTCTATGCAGGCTTTTCTACAACTGGCGACTGCCCTTCTCTACCAATGAATAGAAGGCAGAGAGATTTGAAAAGGACTTTCCACTTATAAAGCAGTGACCCTTGGCAATAATGTACTGACTTCTCACAAGCTCAGTAAGACATTTGGACGGTGTCATGGGTGAGCCACTCGACTACAGAAAGGCCACACTCATGGGAAAGAGACAATGGCCAAAGGCAAGACTACACCCTCAACAGAGACTATAGAACCCCAATTCTTCTTCACTTCACATCAACTCTTTTCACTAAATTTTTCCCTCTTCTTTTCTTCCTCTTTCCAGTGTTGGTATTAAACCCCAGACCTTCCTTCATAAGAGCCAGAATGTGCTCTCTCCTGAGTTACACCCCAGCCATTTCACCGCATCCTGACTGGCCAGCCAGACCTTTTCAAAGACATCAGAAGTAGGGCAGGGCAGGGCAGGGCAGGGCAGGGCAGGGCAGGGCAGGCGAGGCCAGCAGGTAAGAACTTTCAACCTACCAGGTAGTATTCTTCCAACAAGAGCATCTAAGAGCCAAAAAGACTCCTCTTCATTCTTAGTGATAAGGATCAGATACCCCGCTATGAAGTTCATTCCCTGAAATCAGAATGAAAAACAAACTTCACCTAGTGCAAAGGGTTCAGCTCACAGCACGTCCCCTTCTTCTGCCCTTCCCGGAAACTTGTGAAGCTCTAACCAGTGGTTCCCAGCCTTCCTAATTCCGTGGCCCCATGACACAGCTCCTCATGCTGTGGTGACCTCCAACCACAAAGTATTTCACTGCTACTTCAGAACTGATTTTGCTACTGTTATGAATCATAATATAAATATCTGGTGTGCAGGATGTCTGATCTGCGACCCCCGTGAAAGGGTCTCTCACCCCCCACCCCTCACAAAGAGGTCAGGACTCACTGATTGAGAACCGCTGCTCTAGACGCATCTATACACAGCTTGGAAGAGACCGAGACTAGTGGTCTGCGCTGTTCGGCCAGCCGACATGGGAGAGGGAAGTCAGCCTGAAGAACACCGAGTGCCCCGCAGACTATGAAACCAAAGGCGCTCTTCTCCTAATGCTGGCACAGACAGCGGTGAGTGACTCCTAAGCGATCAACCAGCCAGATACTCTAACAGCAGCAAACATCGGACAGGCCTGATGACACAGTCCTGTAAGCCCAGCTTTTGGGAAGCCGACGTAGGAGGGCCACAGGTTCAAGGTGAGCCTGGGCAACTTACTAAGACTCTGCCTCAAAATAAAGTGAAAGGGGGACTATAAAATAGCTCAAAGGGAAGGCACTTGCTTCAGTGTTCAGTCCTCAGTCTCCCCAAATGATAAACAGTAAAAAGCAGTGAGGATCGTGGTCCTTCGTGGAGGAGTGGGACAGTGAGAGGATGCTCTCCCCAGAGGACAGATTCTGCCAGAGTGCAAGTACTGGCACAAAGCCAGACAGAGGCCATGGCCCTCGGAGCTTATGATGGGGACCTGAGAGTGTGCGCGCCTGACACGTCTGGGAGAATGAGGCTTTGCACAACTCCTGTCTCCCTCCCTTTTGTTCATCTACACTTTCTAAAATAAGCATGCAGTCCTCTGGGAAGAAATCCATCTTTGCACGGCCAACAGCATAGGCTCAAACAATACCAAACAGGCACCGCATGTGTGGTCTGCACAAAGATACTTTTATCAAGCCAACACCCACTGCCAGGCACAGAGCCCCCAATACCTGTTCTGTACCTCCACTCAGTGTCCCCAAGAATGAGACTCAACACACAGGTAAGATACACAGGGACCATAGTCAAACATTTGTCCCACAACTGAGTTCGGATCCCCAGTGTCCGTGTGGAAAGGTGGGCACCACAGCATGAGCTTATCACCTCAGTCCTGGGCGGGCAGCAGACAGAGGCAGATTACTGTAGGGCCTGCTGGCCACTGCCTAAGTCAGCAAGCACCAGGTTCAGGGAGCTCAGAGGGCCATTCCTTTAAAATGAAGTGGGGAGTTCTCTACAGGGTAAGACACTTGGTATCAACCTGTCTCTACATGCAGATGCTTGCACAAGCTCATGACCACATGCACACAAAGGCTGAATGGAGCTCAGTGACAGAGAATTTCTCAATGGTGCAAAAGACCTCTGGTTCCATGCCAACCCCTGGAAAGAGAAAAGGAAAAGAAGAAAAAGGCGCTGTGACAGGGCAGGAGCTGGTAACAGCTCTAAGTTCCTGGGTCACGAGGTCATGAGGATGACAGCACCTGGGAAGATGCCAGCGAGGGAATGGTGTCACGTGGAACCACCTGTGTGAAGTCAGCCCAACTTCATCAAAAGAGAATGCAAGGCAATTTGCAAGCACTTTCTGAAGTCCCAGTGCTATGGGCAGGACTGGGTCCCCCAAGGCCAGAAGTCTTCTGCCTCAGAGTGTGCCTTCATTTGGGGAGAGGTCTGTGCAGACTTCACTGGTTATGATGAGGTCAAAAGGTTAGCTTCACCAATGAAATGACACAATCCAAGGCAGATTAGAGCACATAAATGCAGGCTTATTGGGGGCAGCTCTCATTCGGGTCACAGGAGGGGTCAGTTATGTCACCATGAAAAGAAGGACAGAAAAGCCTGGAGAGAGGGCAGAGAGAGAAAGTACATGAGCAGAGATCAAGAGAGCTAGTTGGGGGGAGAGGAAGGAGGGAGAGGGAGAGAGAGGGAGAGTACGAGAGTGACAGAGAGAAAGACAGACAGGGAGAGAGAAGAAGGAGGAAAAGGGAGGGAGGGAGGGAGAGAGAAAGAAAGAGAGACAGGCAGACAGACAGGGAGATAGAGGAAGGAAGAAGAGGGAGGGAGGGAGAGAGAAGAAGGGAGAAAGAAGGAGAGAGCGTGTGTGCAAAATGTCTGGATTATACAGGGAAGAGCATTCTCCGGGGGAGCGGAAGCCCACCCCTGGTCTGGAAAGTTCAGGGCAGAGGGCCGGGTATGCCAGCCATATCTTGCTACAGGTAGGGACTGAGGGATGCTGGGAGAATCTGGAGACCAGGTCTGCTTTGGTATGTTAAATAGAAACCTTATCCAATGGTCTCAAATCTGAAACCCAACAGAGGTTCCTCTGGAATAGAGACCTCTGGTTAGACAGTATGTGTCCTTACAAAAAGGGACAACCTAGACACTGCCAAGGAGGGCAAACATCCCAGGAATGTCAGATTCTGGGGTGGGATCTGGACAGGAAGTAGTGAACATCATCCTTGGCAGCTGCAGAGGAGGAAGTGCCCAACGGCTGCCCAGCCCACACCTGGGTCTCCTATTTCCAGAATCATTCTTACTTAAGCCATGCAGTTGACAAGCTCTTCGGCGCCCGCCAACTCCCAGACACAATCAGGAAACTGTTCCCGAGCTGGTAATCCAAACTAGACCCAACTCTGCAGTGGGATCTATGACACCAGGCTGCCAGAAACTCCCGAGAGGTCAGGGTACAGGCCGAGTACAGGCCTCCACACCCAGAGAGTCTGCACAGCGTCCTGCCGGCCCCTGCCTCCTTCCATTCTGTACCCCCTCAGCATCATTCCCACTGTCTTCAACGCCCATGCTCACCTTATTCACTAAGGCGATAGCACGAAGCTGTCCCTCCACATCCCTGCAGCGAGCTAAGCCTGCCGTGAGGGACGCTTCGCTACCCAGGGCTCATGAGCCAGGAAGAAAGCTTGTACCTGCAGATACCATTGCCATGGAGCTATGGGGTCCCAAATGATCCCCCCCAAGCACATGTCAGCTCTTAAGGCTCTGGGGGCTCACCTGGCAGTACCCCACAGCTTGGTTGTGCAGTCCATAGGCCAGCAGCACATTGTACAGGGTCTTCTGAAGACAAGGCTCCGCCGTCTTCCGGAACCTCACGTTGTCAGGGAAAGTCCGGTTCAGGTCTACACAGAAATTCACCAGTGTCACCGTCACGCCGCTCTGCATCCCCAAGGTGGCCAGACTCTGTCTTGGGTTTCAGGAATGGCCCCATCCGGCTGCAGCTGAATCACCCCAGAAAAACCTAGCTGCCACCTCAGCGCGCTGCACGCCTGAGCCCGGGTGTAGCACAGGAGATGGCATGCTGCGCCAGGAAGGACAGCAGTGATTGGAGACCAGTGTGGCTGCCTGCAGCTATGGTCTCCACTGGACCCTTCAGTTACCCTGTCAGTATGGAAGAAAGCTTCAGGTTCTGAAGATCAAATATATCAAGACTAGGGCTGGCATGGAGCACACCCTTCTGATCCTTTGATCCCAGTACTATGGAAAGAGAAGCAGTCAGATTTCTATGAGTTCAAGGCCAACCTGCTCTACATACAGGACTGTAGGCCAGCCAGGGCTACACAGTGAAATTCTGTCTCAACAAAACAACAAAATGCTAGGCTTGGTGGTTCATACTTGTAACTGCTACACTCAGGAGGCTAAGGCAGGGTGACTGCTGAGTTCAGGGGTAGCCTGGGCTACAGAGTCCTGCAGTTTCAAAAGAACTGAAACAAAAATGCCCAGAACACAGGAAGGAGAACAAGCCAAGACTGCCTTCAGAGATAAACCAATGCCAGGAATTAAGTAAACTCATGCTGCCGGGTTTTGTGCCGAAGCTTCCCTGCCCCACCACTTCCTGCTCTCATGACCCCTACACCCTCCATAACCTCTCAGATCCAAAACATCTCCCCTGGAACTGTAAACACTCAGCGACACAGACTGGTCACAGGAACAGGAGCGGCTCGCTACGGCCGACTAGAGCCACAGGCTGCATTTACTCTGCATGGTACCCTCACATCTTGCTATGGCATAGGTAAAGGGAGTGTGGATAAGGCTTATGGCCCTGTTTGTGTTCCATGTTTGTGAACATGGAAACTCCACCATGTGGTCTGGGGCTCCGACTCGGTCCGTAAAGAGCTTGCTTACACGTTGAAAGTCCTGAGTTTGACACCCAGTGGCACATAAACCAGCCACAGGAGCATACATCAGTAACCTCAGCACCCAGGTGGAGGCGGCTCATTTGTGCTTACATTTGGAGTTCTAGGACAATCTGGGAGGCCATCCTGTCTATAAAAACAACAAAGGTACTTGCCACCAGGCCTGATGCCTTGAATTCTAGCCTTGGTACCTACATGGCAGGAGAGCCAGTTCCCACAGGTTGTCCTTTAATCTCTCTCCTCTAACCTCTATATATGCATGTGAGCACACACACACACAAAACAAACAAACAAATAAACATAATTTAAAAATATAAAACAAGCCAGGCACAGTGGTTGCATATCTTTAGTCCCAGCACTTGGGAGGTAGAGACAGACTGCCAAGAGTTGAGGCCAGCCTGGTCTACATAGCAAGTTCTAGGCTTGCGCCAGGACAACACAGTGAGACACTGTGTCTAAAAAAATAAATTTTAAATGGCTACGTGATGGAGTTTAAGCGAATCCCACAGGGTACAGTCAGAGACAAAAGTAGAGGACATTGGTGCTGACAGGGGGCAGGTCAGTTTGGGAAGGAAGGTGAACTATGAATACGCATATTTTCCCATAATCATTTTTTTTTTCTAAAAACACACTCAACAACCTTGAAAATCATTTCACAAACAGTAACAGCCAATTGTATCTAAGATACATGAGGCTACCTGAGGACCTCTCGGGGTTCCACGGACCCCATGACCCCTGGTCATGTGAACTGAGCCTCAAGCTCTGTCACTGGGGTGGTAAAGGACAGGGAGAGGGGTGGCGTAGACAGTCCCCGGGTCAGTCAGAATGGCCACCTGATGGCAGGGTGCAGGGACCACCTCCACAATGACATCAAGGGAGCATAGCCAACACCATTGCGCTTGGGGCCACGTGATACTATCTTCTCAAGCTCCTGAGACCCTCACAGGAAACTCCATCTAGCAGTCATGAGGAAACTTGACTCTTGATTTCCACGTCCAAAATTTAGCATCTGCAGGTGCATCTTCAGTAAGGCAGACTTGTTTGTCTGATGTTTGAGACAGGGTTTCTCTGTGGCCTTGGCTGTTGTGGCTTTGTAGACCAGGCTGGCCTCAAACTCAGAGATGAGCCTGCCTCTGCCTCCTGAGTGCTGAGATTAAAGGCATGTGCTGCCACTGCCCGAAAGGCAGACTTTTCGATTGCCTAGGACCTGAGCAAGGGCAGAGCTCTGCTTTGGGATGGATCCTGGTCCACCCTCCCCATCGAAGCTACACAGGCACCAGGCACTGAGCACAAGCCTCCCACCTGTCCTGATGGCTTCCTCCAGGCTGGGGCTCCCCTCTCCCTCGAGCAGTTGGTGGTAGTATCCAGGGTTCTGGTCCATCTGGGCCTGGGCTCCACTCACAGCCATCCAGACTCGGGCCCGGTGCTCCAGGGGGATTCCCTTCCGGACATAGCGCTTCACTGAAACCCAGAGAGACTGAGGTGACCTCAGGGCCCAGGAAATCAGGACGATGCTCCAGTCTTCCCTCTTCACCTGAGCACTAAACCAGTCCAGAGAGGGCCCAAAGCTTCCTTACTCTGCCCAGGTAGAAACAGTCCACGACCCTTCTGAAACGGAACAGCACCAGCAACGTAGAGCACCAACTCTCTTCTACCGCACCGTCTAAGCAGAGTGGGGACAGGCTAGGGCTGGACGCTCATACTCATCCTCTCTACCACCAGCACTGAAAGCCACATACCCTAAGCTCAGAGGACAGAAGGGCTCTATCCAGGCTCTTGTTCTTGGTCCTCGATGGCCAACCTGCCTACCACACTGAACAGACCCAGTGTAGGACCAAAGGGCACTTGGTCCAGCTGGGGTGTGGCCCAGTGGAATAGCTCGTGTTTGGTGTGTACGAGGCCCTGGATCCTATGTTCAGAACCCAAAGACCATATTTTCTTCCAGGGGAGGTTTTGTTGAAAGTAGGGAAAAGCCTGATGACTTAGGTCTGAGCCTCCCAACTGGGAGGGTGGGAGAGAACAGCCACATAGGGTGTCTCTTCCCATCACACCCTCCTCTCATCTCCACAGCTGCTCCTTGGCCCAGGGCAAGTGCTCCCTTTACTGACATCTTCACTATTTGCCTCTCCAAAGCAAACAGTCAAAGCTTTGCTGTTTTCCTTTGACATTAATATATATAATCATTACTTGGGCCAGAGTGATGGTTAACAGCACTTGCAGAGGATCCAGAGTCCCATTCCCAGCACCCACATGGCAGCTTACAACCACCTCCCACTCCAGTCCCAGGGGACTGGCACCCTCTTCTGATGTCCTTGGGCACTGAGCAAGCATGCATGTGATACACATATGCACACACAGGAAAACACATAAAAACATGTAATGACTTAAAAAAGACACTAACTTTAGGGAGTGCAGTAATTTGGATGTTAACTGTGTGCGGGCCCCTTGCATGGTGTGGGATGTGGTCTTCGGGTAACTGTCGGTCGCACCATGAAAGACTGAGGGGCATTCTTCGTCCTTGTCTCTCCTGGCTATGTGGTGAGTTGGGATACCCAACTCTGTTCTTCCGCCATAACATGCAACACCATGCCTAAAGTAAGTCATCACGAAAAGGAAAACACCTGGGCTCAGAGTATAGCTTAACAGCGCAGCATTTGCGTAGCATGCAGGGAGTCCTAGGTTCAATTCCAGCATTACAAAAAAAAAAAAAAAAAAAGGAAAAGCCCTGTGGCACCAGTTCTAATCAACAGAGAAATAAAAAAATTAAAAAAAAAAGACTTCATGTGGACTGGAAAGATGGATCAGCCGGTAAAGGCTCTTGCAGCAAAAGCTTGGCAACCTGAGTTTAGTCCCCAGAATCCTCATAAACCCATGTAAAGGTGGAAGGAGAGAGCTGGCTCCACAAAGCTGTCCCCCGACCCCCCCCACACACACCATGCTGACTATCAACTCACAGGAACAAATAAGGTATTGGTGAAGGGTTGGGTAAGTGGATTCATGGTACACAATAAAGAACGTAGAAACAGCTGGCTAGAGAGCTGGCTCTAGAGTTGAGAACGCTAGGTGCCCTTCCAGAGGATCTGGGTTCAATTACCAGCACCCACATACACGCAGACAAAATACCCATACACAGAAATTTAAAAAATATTTTTAAAAAAAAAGCAATGCAGGAAAAGTTACACACACACACAAAGCCAACTGTTTTTTTGACAAAAGTGACAAAGGAAATTCAATGCAAAAAGGGTAATCTGTCCAAATAAAGAATGGCTAAAATAAAACGACACCAACAGTGTAAAATCAGCAGCCACTGGAGCCTCGGGTGTGGTGGGAATGCAAAATGCACAGCCGCTTTGGAAAGCTCTTGAAATTTCTTTTCTGGCTTCCCTTTCCATCCCACTCCTTTTCATTCTGAGAATCAGATTCTAGGCCTTGCACACAGTAGACAATGCAATTTCTTCCCAGTTTTAAGCCTTTAACATAATCTAGCCATCCCACTAAGGAAACCTGAAACCTGTGCTTACACAAAAGCCCGTGTGTGCTTCTTCCTTTGGCCTTTCATACCCGACACGTCAATGATGAGCAGATGGATCGAGATCGAGGAACACCTCAGAACAGAAGTTATGAGCCACCGGGGCAGCACAAGGCCATAGCTGAACCTCTAGTGCAATACAGAAACCAGGACTCAAACGCTGCAACCCAGCCAAGCAGCTACAGGGCATCCTGGGAAGGCAGGCTCAGAAACGGGCTGACAAGGAGCGGTTCATAGAAGTCTGAAGTGATGAAACTGTTCCAATTTTTCATGTGTATGTGGGGTACCCACGAGGGCACTGGATCACTAGGAGCTAGAGTTTTAGTTTGAACAGCCTGATATGGGCGCTGGGAACCAAACTCAGGTCCTCTGTAAGCAGTACACACTCCCAACTACAGACCCAGCTCGCCAGCCACCACCCCTCCCCAACGTTTTTCATTGTTTTGAGACAGGAGCTCACTATGTAGACCAGCCTGGCTTCAAGCTATAGCAATCCTGATGCCTCTGCCTCCTAAAAACTGGAATTAAAGTAACTCAGGCTCTGGTTAAAACTGTGTTGCTGTTGTCTGAAATCCTAAAACTGTACTCTCATAACAATGAGTTTCACTATCAATTTTAAAAATAATTCAGTAATATAAGGCTTCTGTTGTTTGTTTTTTGAGACAGAGTTTCTCTGTGTAGCTCTGGCTGCCCTGGAACTCTCTTTGTAGACCAGACTGGCCTTGAACTCACAGAGATCCACTTGACTCTGCCTCCCTAAATGCTGAGATTAAAGGCATGTGTCACCACAACAGGCTCCTGAGGTTTTCTGTTTGTTTTGCTTTTGTTTTTATTTCCAGACAGGGTTTCTCTGTGTAGCCCTGGCTGTCCTGTTCGTTGTAGACCAGGCTGGCCTTGAACTCACAGAGATCCTCTACCTCCTAAGTGCTGGGACTATGGCACCTGGCTTGTTTGTTTTTAAGCAAAGGACAAACTAGTCCCACATACCAACATCCGATACCTGCTCTGTTACGGCTTCCTAGCCCCACACCCAGGCAAGCCACAGTCTCCTTACTTTGTCCAGCCGCAGTTGCAGAGTTGGGACTCCCTGCTGGTCCAGAGGCCAGTCTCCAGCACACTTTTATCCTATTTAAACTTACTTTGTTTCTTCAAGGGGAATGAAGACATCGTTCTTGCTCTCACACACTGATCTCCTTCTGAGGGCAGGGTTCACCCACAGACAACCATCAAACCCTGAGGAGAACTAGCTTCACCTGTCTGCCCAACCAAGTCAAGCAAAAGTCAGGTTTGGGACATTTGGCTCTGAGTGTGCATTCCTCTTCAATTCACTTGGAGTGCAGGTGTGTGTGACTAAGCCACTATGACAAAGAAGCAAATGGTTCCACTGCCTGCCCTGTGCACCAAGAAGGGACACTACCCAGGGAAAGGCAGCGTCAAGGACTGGGTTCGGACCCTCCCAACTGCAGAAAAAGCAGGTTCTATTCTTGGGCTCCTGCATCTTCACATAGGGCAGGAAAACAGTATTCACTGTACCCACTCTTGATCATCAGTGATAACAGCTGTCATCTGAGACATCTCGGATAAGATTTACAGGTAACTGGAAACACTTGGATGTTAGGGAACACTGGGGAGGGAGACTACAAAGGAAAAGAGCCGAGGTGGCCAGCTTCTTCCAGGCCAACCATTTGAGACACTATGGCAGTCTCCTCTGATACCAACAGCACAAACCACAACCTCAAACGTCCTTTCTCATGTAGAGAAGGGAGGCATCTTGAATCAGAAACCTCCTTGGGACATACAGAATTCCAACATGGTGACGTCTCCTGGCACAATTGGTGGCCAGTGACTCCCTTATAGATGGCTTGGCCAGTGGTTGATAACCTCAGAAGGTGCTTTCCTTACACAGACAAGGCCAAGACCTAAAGCCAGATGATGAAAGAAAGCACGGGGCACCTGCAGATAAAGATAATGAGATAAATGTGATAAAGAGAATGGGAGGAGTAATAGCCCTTAATAGGATGTGTACTCACAGTGCCCCAAACTTCTCCCTGGATCAGCTGCTTGCAGACTCCTAGCTTCTCTTCTAATTCAGACAGTAACTCTCTTCCGCCTTCCATCTCCTCCTGCAGCTTGCTGCCTTACTGTTTCCTCTCTTGAAAGCCAGTAAGATGTCTCTGAGTCTCCCTCCGAACCCCTTTAAATTCTTGCACCAACCCCAAGGCATGGTGACTCGAGGCTTTAATCTCAGTACTCAGGGGGCAGGGGCAGGTGCAGATCTGTGAGTTTGAGGCCAGCCTGGGCTAGGTCAGCCAGGGATAGAAAGATCATATCTCAAACAACTTTACTGGTGAGATCAAGAACTTCAAAAGGGGCCCTGTGTCCCCTACTGACTCGGACAAGCAGAACACCTCCAAAACCAGAAAGTAAAGCTATGTGTGGTGGTAAACACATATAATGCCTGCACTCAGGCTCAGTAACAAGGTTCTCAAGTTCAAGGCTAGTCTGGACTACATACAGGCAGACACAGAGAGAGAGAGACAGATCAGCAGATACCAAGGGGTGCTTACTGACACTCAAAAGCCGGTTTAACATTGAGCGCCTGGCTCCTACCCGAATACACGGACACATCTTCCTGGGTCATGTGAGCTCTCCCCTGGGGCTATTGCCCTGCTGATCACACCACAGTCAGCCGAGAATATCTGGCAGGAAATTCCCATCTCTGGAATAGCTTGTCTGCTCCTGTTTTATGCTTGATCAACCTTCACCAGCACTGCAGGCTCCCTACATTTTGAGGGTAGACGCCCAGCGACCCCCACACCTCTTACTCATTAGGCTTGCTTCCTGCCAGGAGCCAGACACATCTGTTTACACCAGTTACACCTGCTACCATAATTACAGCCTAATGCCTATTACATAATCAAGACAATAGAAAGCAAAGCCATATAAAGCAAGTTTAAAACAGGTTAAACTTTTTTTTTTTTGGAGATTTATTTTAGCCAGGTGTGCTATCACACACACACTTAAATCAGTCAGCACTCAAAAGATGGAGGCAGGTGGGTCTCTGTGAGTTCGAAACCAATCGGGTCTACATAGAGAACTCTATTCCAGCTCTGGCTGCACAGTGAGACACTGTCTCAAGGGGGGCAGGGAAGCAAAGAGGAGACAGGCTCTCTCTTTGCAGTCCTGGCTTTCTTGACTACATAGACCAATCTGGCCTTGAACTCACAGAGATCCACCGAAGTGCTGGGATTAAAAGCATGTGCCAAAGCCAGCTATTTTTTTTTATATTTTTTATCGTGTGTGTGTGTGTGTGTGTGTGTGTGTGTGTGTGTGTTTACACGTGAGCATGTGTGCCCACAGAGGCCAGTGGCATTGGATTCCCAGGAGGCTGGAGTTGCAGGAGGCTGTGGCCCACCCCATACGGGTGCTGGAAATTGAACTCAGGTCCTCTGGAAGAGCAGGAAGCACTGTCCCTCTTAACTGCAAAGCCCTCTCTCCAGCCCAGTTCACAGGGTTGAGACAAGTGTTCAGAAGCAAAGCAAAACCAAACCAAACCTGCTGAAGTAGGTTAGACAAGTGCAAACCAGACCTAGTGTCTGAGGCCCGCAGGGGGTCACAGGTTCAAGGCCTGCCTGGCCCTTGAAGGATAAACTCAGAATGGCATGTGTAAATCTGAACAGACCTCCATATTCCAGGGCCATACCCATCCTCCCAGCCACAGGAATCACTTCCTATACTGAAGGCCAAGCGCTCCTTGGGGGGGGGGGGGGACGCTTTAAGGCAGTCCCCAGTGGTTACTTCTGTGGTAGACTAGAGCCTGGGGTGGGCGAGAAGCAACTTCATTTTGTATTTTTCCCCGTAACTAAAACGTTTACCATGCCCATGAATTGTGTATTACGTGTAAATAAAACTTTCTAGCATTAAAAGACAAAAAAAAGTAGGCACTTGCTGGAAACCCGCTGGCACACTGAAAGGAATAAATGCAGAAGGAAAGAAAACGCGGGTGCTACCACACAGAGACTGCTGTAGACCTCCGCCTCGCCCCCAGCCCTTACACCTGGGTCATCCATTATTAACGCCGAGCAGTCCGTCCACCTGGCAAACACCTTCACACGCTCCTCTTTAACAAACGGGAAGTCCCCAGTATCTTAACAAAGCAATACTCCCTGTACCCAGGATTCCACAGTGAAATAAACAAAATTCCCTGCAAGCAGGGAGGGGCCTTTGATGCTAGCAAGGAAACAAACGGCTATCAAATATGATGTAGGGGAAAGAAAAAAAGGAGGGGGGCTTGAAAAGGCATGGTAGTTCCTGCTCAGAGTAAAAGGAAAAGTTTGGACCATCAAGGGGCCTGTCTGAATTTGAAGCATGAGATCTGGTCCCCTAGTCTCCAGTTTGCAGCTCCTGTTAGGAAAGGGCATACCCGGAGCCCCACCCTGAGTGCCCCACCCTTACCAGTCTCTGGGGACTAGGCGCTGTTCTAAACCCCCTCAGAACACGAGGCTTTCTCGAGGCTTCCAAGGAAGTATGGACTTTGCCCATCTTCGGTTAAGAGGGCGTGGTGACCATGGTTGTAAAGGCAGCGAGGTGTGCAGGTCCCAGGCCTGCTCTGTGCTACACACACACTCCTCAGTCAACGCTTGGGCAGGGGTCTCAGTGTCCCAGGAGTCGCGCCTGGGGTTGGCGGGGTCAACTATAAAGGAGCCCAGCTCCTGTGGAGTTGCCAGTGTGTGCGCGTGCGCGTGCAGGTCTGGCTTCAGGAGTTTAGTGAGCCAGCTGCTGAGTCCCCTTACAGAAGGATCTTGCTGCTGGGGGGCGGAAAGTGGGGAAAGTCACGCTGGCGCGACACTGGGTTCTACTGCTGGGAAGTCATGCCACAGGGACTCTACCTGCTGCAGGAGGTCCCGCAGTCTAAAGTTCGAGCTCCCGGGTCGCACCACAGGGGTTCTGGCTGCAGGGGGCGGGGGTCCTGTTTGGTTAAATGGCTGCTATGCCAGCCAGCGTCAGGACTCTCACCTGTCACGCTTTTTCGGACACCACCGTTTCCCTTTAGAAGTTTGGACCATTTGATCGCTCTCTTGGTGAGTATCACTAGGTACGTGGAAAAGAATTCTTCATAAGCCGCATAATCAAAGTCTTCGGGCCTTTCAAATCCGTACGGATCGATCCTACAAACACAAAAAGAACCTGTTTTCCGAACCAAGTTTCTGCGCCCGCGGAGATCCGGGAGCTGGGGTCCCGGAGCTTCGCCACCCGACACTCCTCGGTCCGCCCCTCCGTCCATCCTCGGTCCATCTTCCCTTCCTCTCTCTCTCCCCTCCTCCATCCCCTCCTCTCCTCCACCCCTTCATTCCCTTCTCTCTCCTAGGACCAGCGCTCGTCTCCCAAGCAGCAGCGACCGGCTCAGACCCATTCTGGGGCGGGTGCCCGGCACCCCGCGCGCGGCCTTCGCACCCACCTGGGCACCCGAGCTCGCGCCGCCTGCGCGCGCTCTGCGGGATCCATGCGGAGAAGGGCCACAGACCGCGGCACACAGACGCAGCGCAGCCCAGAGCGCTGGACCCCGGTGCGCCGCTGGCCCCGGGGCGCGCGAGTGCTTCCGGCGGGGGCGTGGCCGAGACGGGGGCGGGACGGGGACTAGGGGCGGAGCCAGCGGGGGGCGGGGCAGGGTGGGTGGACGGGGCGGGGATGGGTGGGGGTGGTATTGAGTACGGGAGGGCCCAAGGCCGGGACCGTGCACCTGCCGCAGTCTGGACTAGGAATCTGAAAATCCAGCAAGATGGAAACCTTCGCGGAGGTTGTAAGACCTGGATCCACTTAGCAGTGTTCTAAGTAGCCTTCAAGCCTCAGTACCTGGCAGACTGGACTTCGGACTTCGAGCTCCTAAGCAGAAAAAAAGGAGTCTTTTTTCACTTGGCTCCCTTGCGTTTCAAGGCTGGGAACATACTGCTTTGAGGACCACCATATAGGGGTACGCGCTTCTCCAAACCTTGGAACCCCAGGGTTAGCCTTGGAACGAGTCGTTGCCGCCTCACTGTCTTCTGCCTGGAGAAGCCCCAGCCCCTGCGCCACTGCAGGAACACCGTGCCAGGCTTCTTTTGTGGTCCCAATCGCCGTCAGTTTCTTGAGATTTCAGACTTTGGGCATGGATACCAGCTGACCGCCTTTCTCAGCGAGGTGCCATCGGAAACCTGTGGAGAAACTTTTGAACTGTGGTTGGTCAAGCTGCCGAGGCAGAGCTTAGGGCTTTGGTGCCTCAGCCCCTGGGGTCAGCGGTGGCGTGGACCGGACATTGCAGAAGCACTTCTCTGCGGTGTTTTGTCGTGAGCCCTTGAAAGCTGCCGACTTTCTAGAAGTCTCTTCTGAAGAAGTCCATGAGCTCTGCTGGCTGAGGTAAGAATGACCCTCAGCTGGACTTTGGGAACTAACTTGGGCTAGTTAGAAACCTCCGTGTACCTAACAGGAAGCGTGGGGGCGGGAGGGAGGACAGTTAGAATTTAGCCTGGTCCATTGGGACACTTGTGTTCAGCGCTCGCTCGTCACCCATACCCCAGTGTAAACAAAGCTGACCTCCGTGCTGACAGTAGAGGCAGCCTGGGGACCTGTCTCTCCGCTATGTAGATATCTATGGCCTTTGTTTCATTTCCTCGCGGTTGTGAGACTACTGGAAGACAGATTAGAGAACCTGGATTTGTTTGGATTTTATCCACTCCTTGATTTGACCAAACTGTAATAAACAAGTTATTTTTTTTTTTTTACTAAGTTTTGGTGACCCCATCTTTTGTTTTTTTGTTTACTTATTTTATTCTTTTTTTTTTCTTTTTAAATGTATGTTTGTTTATTGAGACAGGGTCTCACTGTGTATCTCTGGTTGGTCTGAAACTCACTGTATAGACAAAGCTGGCATTGAACTCCCAGAGATCTGTCTGTGTCTACCTCCACACACACACACTCAGAGTGCTGGCATTAAAGACATGTGCCACCATGTCTGGCCCCATCTTTCTTTTAGAATACAGCAAGGAATGAACCTGAGAATCCAGCTAGAGCTACAGACCTGAGCTTCTCTGTTGATTTCTTTGATGAAATCTAGTGCTGGCATGAGCAGAACCCCAAATTCCAGGTCTCACAGTTGCCCCGCTTGCTTGCTGCTTCTGGGAAAAGCTTGCAGAGACCAACTCAGCCCAGCAGTGAGTGGCTTTTTAACACCGGTGTCCTTTCTCTCGGGATGGATATCCCTGCCAGTGCTCTGGCCTTGACCTTTCCCTAATGGGGGCTCAGACCACAGGCAGCACAGAATTCTTTGCTGTACATGACTTTCTCCTTGGTCTGGCCATACAGAGCTCTCTCCCAGGTCTCTACCCAGCTGTCTACCAGGGGCCTTCTTCACATTTGCTGCTGCTACTCTTTTTCCTCCTACTCCTCTTCTTCTTTTCTTCCACTTATTTATTTTGTTGGTTGGCTTTTTGAGACAGGATCTCTCTATGTAGTCCTCTATCCTGGAGCTCACTATGGAAACCAGGCTGGCCTTGAACTCACAGAGTTCCTTCTGCCTCTGCCTCTGCCTCTGCCTCTGAAACCTGTTTTCTCTTTTTTTCTTACTTTAGATGGGCTGTTGCAAGCAAAACAAATAAAAGAGACCTTTGCAGGCTCAATTCTGACAGCCCACCTTCTTGTCTGTTTTCCATGCCCTGCTCCCACCTCTCCAGCACCAAAAAGCATCGCCAACAGCCCTCTCTCACTCCTCTCTCTAATAACTCCTGCTTTCTGTTGATGGAGCTTGGGAATCCCACCTCAGTCCCTTGGATGGTCTTGGAGAAAAGGCTGGCCTGTGGCCCTGATGCAGGCTGGGAAACATCCATGGGCCTCCTGCACTTGAACTTGAGAATAAAGTCATAGTCTCCACTGTGAGAGTTTTGTGGCCAGATATGACCATGGGATGGGAAGCTGGCTCTAGGCAGACTCAATTAGATAAGAACAGTTGTCCTGCAGGAAGAGTGGGGAGGGTAGATACAAGGCTCCAGCAGAGTAGTGAGCGTGCTCCCCTTGTCTCAGCAAGCACCCACATGGGACTAGGAGACCTAAGGGCCACATGCCCCGAGTAGCCTCTCTGCACCCCTCCCCAAGTGTCTTAACATAGTGACCCACAGTGGTCGTCCATAGCCTCCCCAGTCCCACCCTCTGAGGCAATGAAGCCATTCCAAAGCCTCAGAAAGACACAGTGCAAACCCAGCACTAGGGTCTGAGAGTAGCCTAGCCTTCCTTAAGGAGTTCAGCTTTTCTGAGGTTATTCCCTCAGACTAAATAGGAAATGGAGACAGATCCAAGAAGAGTGGATGGGCATCGGTGTAGAATGAAGATGGCCACAGCTGAGTCCACTGGCGTGTCTTCTATACCAGTGATGTAGGTGGCCAGACAGATGGCATCAGCTCCCTGATGCTCCCCACGCCCCCTCCTGGTCTTAGTTACTTTTCTGGTTGCTGTGATGAGACACCATGACCAAGGCAACTTATAGAAGAGTTTACTGGTGCTTACAATTCTGGAGGGCTTGAGTCCAAGACCACTGTGGTGGGGAGCATATCAGAAGGCAGGCAGGCAGACAGACAGACAAGCAGGCATGGCACTGGAGAAGTAGCTGAGACTTCACATCTCACTCACAAGTGGGAGGGAGAGAGCTAACAGAAACCTCAGAGCCCATCAGTAGCGACACACCTACCCTAATAAGGGCACATCTAATCCTTCCTAAACAGTTCCACCAAGTGGGGGACCGAGCGTTCAAATGTGCAGGCCTCCGGGAGCCATTCTCATTCAAACTACCACATACTCTCACTGGTGGAAGGGAGGTGGGGTGGAGAAGAGCTCCTCGGGCTGGTTGAAGCTGGAGAGCTAGCGTGCCTCTCTCACACCATCCATTACAGAACTTTCAGAGCAGGCGAGTCGGGGTGGGTTGCCTACATTTTCCTCATAGAAACTGCAGAGCCAAGCGTCTGAAGCTCTGAGGGGCTACAGGTATAACTGGAGGCCAGATGACAGGCCTGGATCCCCTTGCACTGAAGCTACAGATGGTTGTGAGCCACCTTGTGGGTTCTGGGAACTGAGCTCAGGTCCTTTGCAATTGCAGCAAGTGCTGGCTTCTGCTGATTCACCTCTCCTGCCCAACCCTGTCCTTGTGGTCTCCCGGTCTGTTTAGTACTGCCCATATACTCACAGATGTGGGGCCATCGTTGGGTTGTGCCTGACCTTCCAGAGGCCACACCCATAAAGAAACTGACTCTCCCTCCTCCAGAAGCCAGCAGCTGGCTCCTCGGCTATGGGTGGAGACATAGAATCCCTTTCTCCCTCCTCAGCTAATTATTTTTAATAGTTCTTGCACGCCATCTACACCCTTTAGCTTGGAAAGTGGACAAATAAAGAACACCCTTGATTTGTGCTATAGGAAACAGCTCCTTGCCTGTGTGCTATAGATGAGCTGACCCATGTGGCCCATGTGACAGGCCAGACATAGGTCTTCCAGCCCCACCCTGTGCTGCATAAAGCCTACGCAGGTGTCTTTGCTGACATGGCTCTCTGTCCCTCACCTTTACCCGGCACTGAGCAGGGCCCCGCTGGGCCCCTTCACCCAGCTGCGCACTCTGCTCTTCTGATTGTGAGTGCCGTTCAGAAGGAAACCTCTTTCTACCCACCTGTGCTCTTGCAGCCAGGATGGCCAGAGCTCCCTCCCGTTACTGTTTTCTTACATTTGTGTTGGTCACTCACCTTCCCAGCAACCAACCACCTTCAGCCCTCAGCATTTGTGAGTTTGGCAGGCTCTTTAAAAACTTGACAGAAGAGAAGAACATGAAGTTTGCAAGTGGCTTTTAAAGATGTTCCAACTGAGCCCTGGGTATTGAGGGCACACACCTTTAATCCTAGCACTTGGGAGGCAGAGGCAGGGGGATCTCTCTGAGTTTGAGGCCAGCTGGTCTACAGAGCGAGTTCCAGGACAGCGAAGGCTGCACAGAGAAACCCTGTCTCAAAAAGAAAAACAAACTTGTTCTAGCTGGCAGGGGCTGAGCACAGCGGTGGGCATTGAGACAGGCCAGTGGCAGAACATTTGCCTGTGACCCCCAGCACTAGGACAGACAAACACAAAACCCTTCAGCTAAATAAAAAGGAGAAGAATTTTATCTAAATATAAAGGAGACCGGTTATAACAGCCCCCTGTGGCTGGAAAACGGCCCTCTGGGGGAGATGGTCCGAATTTGAAATTTTCCATTCCTCTTCTAGGGGCAAACCAGTGGCCTCCACCCCAGCCCCGTGCCCTGGACAGCTTCCTAACACGGAGGTGAGGCAGAACCCCACCTGTCCAGACGCCGGGGTCCTTAGGACTGAGGTCACAACACACACTTTTCTCTGCAAAGGGCTCAGGAGATGCATTGCTGCTGTGTCCAGTGGGGGGTGGGGGGGCGATGCAGAGCCGTGAATAAGGGGCAAACGGATCAGCACAGAGGGGGTTCCCAGTGACCTCAGAAAATGACCAAATTGTGCAGTCTGTAATCCCAGCACTTACAAGTGAGTTCCAGGCCAGTTTGGTGCACTGGTCTACATACTGAGTTCCAGCCAGGGCTACAGAGTAAGACTCTGTCTCAAAAACATAACAAGTCCCAAATCTCCAGCTCCTGGCAGAACTTGAGGGGCCTCTCCTTAGGAGCCCCCTTTTAGCACTTTACGTGAGGTCTACGTAAGACCCAAGACTACAATCTTTGGGGGTGTCTAGGCGACCATTTCACCTTGACCACAGGGTTCCAGGATGTATGGTCCTAGCTCAGCTACACCTGTGAGAGGGACTTCAACAGATCGCTTGACTCACAGGAGTGAGAGCCGTGGTGGCAGTGTGGCCAGCCTTGGGTCCCAGGGGGTCACCAGGGATAATTAGCTGGTGACCTTGTCCCTGTGAGATCCTGAATTCTTCAAACTTGAGGGCTTGCTCACCTGATCTGCCCCAGAAGGCATGCCCAGAGCCCAGCAGCCCTCCATGAGGCTGTACCCAGGAGTACTTTGAAGAAAGAAAATAGGTTTAGGGTGGTGAATGGGTGGGGCTTGGGGAGGAGGGGCAACCCCAGACCTGCCGGAATGGAGCTCCTAAGGGTCATCGTAAACCAGGGAACTGGCTCCAGATACAGCTTGTAAAATGGCCTAGGCCTGCCTTTTCAATTTATCAGTGTATGTTACTCATACAAAAGAATGGGCTTTGTCCTGACATTTCCATGCATGTGTAGAATGTCTGTTATAACCTAGTAATCCAGAGCTGGTCCCAACCCCGGTAGGCAGAGCCTGCTTCCCATCAGCCTCCTGGGGCCAGATTATCTCGGGTGGGGAGGGCAGGAGGCAGGGGTGTATGTACTTTCAGGTGTGTACCATACTTTGAAGACACATTCTGTTTCTACTGTATTCCTGCCTGGGCAAAATAGCCCTGGCAGCATCTTAAAGGCCCCTGAGAGAGATTTGAGATGAAAGTCCCTGAAGCTGCTAACCCACGGCTTGGGAGGCAGAAGCAGAAGAACTGCAAGTTTGAGGTCAGTCTGGGCAAGACCTAGTTGATGGGTATTCTCCACCTATGAAATGAGCCAGTGGAAGCCAAATTAAAGCATAAAAGGTAGGTTTATTGGGGGCAGCTCTTTCAGGTGGATTCACAGGTCCCAATGAACAGGGGTGTAGGGGAGTGGGGGCAGGGAAGACACCATGCAGACAGGGAGACAGAAAAGGGAGGAAGGAAGAAAGTAAGACTGTGTGAATGAAGAGAGAGAGGAGAAAGAGACAGAGAGAGAGAGAGAGAGAAAGAACCAAAATGTCTGAATTATATAGTGAAGAGCCTCTGGAGGAGAGGAAGGAAAGGAAGCCCAGCCCCTCGGCTGGAAAGTTCAGCATAAAGGGCCCAGTATGCCAGCCATGCCCTGTAACAGATGGGGACTAAGGGATGCTGGGAGAATATGGGTCTGCTTTGATATGTTAAATAGGCTTGCCCAGGTCTGAAACTCAACACCTGTCTCAAGAAAAGAAAGGAAGAAAGAAGGAAAGAAGGAAGGAAGGAAGGAAGGAAGGAAAAGAAAAAGAAAGAAAGAAAGAAAGAAAGAAAGAAAGAAAGAAAGAAAGAAAGAAAGA